GTCACCTTCCTGTACCTCCTCTTCACAGAGACCCTCAGTGCCTCCAGCCTGCACGGCCGGTGCTGTCCTGTAGGGGGCAGCAGAGGGTCATGGCTGGCTAGCTCAGCACAGGGATTCAGGCGGGTTTTGTGCTAGAGTCCTGGGTACCCCTGTGGGATTCTGGTTTAAGCAGATGCCTAGTGTCTCTGTCGGCCAGATGCCCACCCCGCAATCTTCTGGGGCTGTTTTGAGGTCCCAAGGGAATGTCAAGTCTAATTCCATCCAAGAATCTCTGGGGATAACCTGGCTTCGCAGGCAGGTATGTTTGAGCTCTGCCCCAGGCCAGCCCTGGAACCCTGGGGGATCTCTCCCTTTGCCCTGGCCTGGGGGCTCAAATCTCTCCCCATCTTGTGGGTGGTTGTGAGGACTGCATGAGCATGGGGGTGTGTCTCAGCACCCAAGCTGGGCTTTAGGACTCCAGTGAGCAACATGGGTCACAGAGCAGGAAAGGACAGCAAAGAGACTTTAAGCATGCCACTGTTGTCTGGTCACACACATAAAATGAGGCAGGTGGGTCCTGGGCGATGTGCAAAGCCCCCTTATGTCCTCTGGTCTTGTCAAAGCAAGCGTTTGCATGTTGGTCTGTGCCCTTTCGTCACAAAGGAGTTGCCGAGGGGAGCAAACAGCATGCAGACTCCTGGTTGGGCCGGTAGGATGAGAAGCACCCACACACATTTCCCTGGGGCTGCTAGTGGAAAATGGCTGAAGCCCCATTGTCCGTGGCTCATGTCGGCGGCCAGGAACCTTTCCCTGCCACACCTCTCTGGGAAGTCCTTCCCCTTCCCGGGACCTCAGTTTCCCCATGTAGAAAATGACAGCTGGGTGACTCCACACAGGCCCTGTCCAGCTCCAACCTCCAGTGATTCCAAAACTTGTGTAAAAGTTGGTGGCTGTCTGTTTGGATTTTAATTTTTTTTGATAAATAATTTAAGGGAGTTATATCATGGTGGGAGGGAGAACCACTTTCAAAACCCTGGATGGCGCTCCGACAGGTTCCACCCAATGAGCAACAATCCTTTTGGAGCAAAGCGAGTCATGGATTCATTTCCAGAAAGAGAGATCTACTTTCAAACTGAATCTGTATAATTTTTCCTTCCTTTAAGGCCACTTTTTTCCCCTACTAATTTTTTCTTTTTAAAGCAGATGAATTGAATGCCACCAAAGATTTTTTTTTTAAAGATTTTATTTATTTATTTATTTGACAGAGAGAGAGAGAGATCACAAGTAGGCAGAGAAGCAGGCAGAGAGAGAGGGGGAAGCAGGCTCCCTGCTGAGCAAAGAGCCCGATGCGGGGCTCGATCCCAGGATCCCAAGATCATGACCCAAACCAAAGGCAGAGAGACTCAACCCTCTGAGCCACTCAGGTGCCCTGGCACCAAAGATTTTAAATAATGGTCTCTTTGGAGAGCGGGCCCTGGCAGGGATGGTGCTGGGGCAGGGGGTGTGCTTCTGCTCATGGGCAGATGGGTCTGGGGGTCCTGTGGCCTAGAGGGAGCCCACTGGGTCCTTGGGCGCAGGCCAGGCCCGGCCTTTTGGTGGGAGCCACCAGCTATGACCATGGGAGCATCCTTCCTCCACTTGTAACGTGTCCTGCCACCGTCTGCAGGAAAGCCACGTCTCAACACTGAAAGTATCTGGGTCTGTCTGAGTCAGCTGGGTGTCTGGGGAGAGCAGTTGGGAGTGCGGGAGGACTCTGGAGGTTGGGTTTCCTGATGATGTCACTGTCCAGGCCTGCTCACTTCCCTGGCCTCCTTCTGAACCCGACCCCAGGGTGGTAGTTCTTGTGAAATGTGTCACTGAATCCCATACTACGTATCTTACATCTTTTTCTTTTCTTTTCTTCCCCCCCCCTCATTTTCTTTTGGTCTTATTTTATAGTTTTTGTTCCTTTTTTTGTTTTTCTCACTAGCATTCATTCTGTGGCCTTGATGACTTCAGTGAGCAAAGAACTCGGGTTGGTATCCCTTCAGTTTCACAGATAAACATGATGATTTTACGGAAAGGAGAATTTCTCCCATTTCTGACCATGACATTCCCTGAGTGACAAGGCTCTGGGGAAGGTGGTCTGTGTCAGATTCCTCAGGGACCCAGTACCCTGGGGCGAGATGAGGGAGGGGGGCCACCAGGGGTCGCTGGAGAGTCCCACCCCTCCAGGGAGGTTGGGAAAGCTCGTTGTGATGAAGGGACAGTGGGGACCTGGTTGCTGCCCTGTTGTAGTTCATCTTCCAAAAGGGCTGGGGGTTGTGGTTTTTCCAAAGTTTCTTTCTATTCTGGCTTAGTTTCTGTTGTTCTCTATTGCCTGTGGACCAGACCATTGCAGGTTTCTGGGGTCAGGGGTCTTCAGGAGCAGTGGACTGATGGGCAAGTCCATGACCTGAATATAAAATACCCAGGAAGCCTGTGTGGCAAGCCCCCCAGCTCCCTGCCCCCCAGCCCTGTGCCTGGTTCTGTTGCTCAGGGACCTGGGACAGAAGCCATCAGAGCAGTTGGTCCTTCTCTGCCCTGCCTGGCCCCAGAACCCAGCTCTCACCCAAGTTCCTGCTTGGGCACACATGTCCTCCCCCATTCTCTTTGCTCTGAGTGCCCTCCTTGGGGATAGGGCTAAGGGGTGGGGTGGTGGGGTTCTTCCAGGTCCGCTGGATCTACAGTTCTGCCTCTGAATCTAGCCCCGGCTGGGAGCCCTCTGAGCTCTCAGGAGGCCCAAAGTGCCTACTAGCTGCCTGATCCCCAGGCTGAGGTCTGCTGCTGGTTCCTTCCCTGACTGATATTCTCATGGGAGCCCTGAGCCTGGCCTCTGAGCCCAGGGATTTGCCTTGTATTTTCTGGGTCCCATGGCCTAGGTCAGTGCTTGGCACGTGGTGGACATTCAGGCAGTGTTTGTGTAGTGAGTGAAGGGAGGGTCCCGGGTCTAATCAGATGGGGAGTGAGGGTAACCGTGAGGGGGGTGGGTCAGGTACTGGAGGACAGGCCATCTGAGTCCTGTTTCCTCTTACCCTACATTGTCAGGGAAAGTCTCTCAGTGGGCTCAGCTGGAGAGATTGGGCCAGCAGAGGGGGCCGGTGGGGCAGGTAAGCCAGGGGCTTCCCCAACCTTTTTTAACCCTCAATTCTTACAACACTGCAAATTATTTTTTAATCTTACAGGATAGAAAAATTGCTTATGGAATATGTTGAGTCCCCACGGCAACCCCAGCCCCACTCAAAGCAAACTTCAACAGCAAAACAAGCTACTTCAAGCCAGAGATTGAACACAGAATCCACGAGTACTCGATGAGGAGGCCTTTTGGATCCATGGCTGGGTCCCGGCTGGGCCGAGCTGCAGGAGCCCTGAAGACGATGGGGATTTTTGTCAAGCTCGGGGCCTCATCTGAGTCCCCACTCTGGCACGTTCCAAGCCTGAGGGGCAGAGACCTGAATACCAGGAAACTAAGTGCAATTACTAGAAACTGAGTCACTGGAGGGCCACTGCACTGTCAGGGGCTGGGCCGGAGTCCTTGTCCCTGCTCTGCATGTCCCCCGCCCCCCGGCCACGGGGGCATGTCCAGCTGGACATAGACCTATGTACATATGTCTCCATGAACTGTGCTCTGTGTACCCTGGAATCTGTCAGCCAGAGTGACTTGCAAAAGTCCGTGTGATTCGAACCCAAGTTCAAACCCTGGTCAGCAAATCCCTTCAGATCCATTAGATGATGACCAGGGAGGGAGGGAGAGAGAGAGAGAGAGAGAGAACAAGCAGGACTCTGAGGAGGGACTAGAGAGTCACCCACTGTGGAGGGCAGATCCTAGGACCTCAGATTTCCAAGAAAGAAGCCACAGGCTCCATCACTTTTGTGGGTGTGACACGGTGACAGTCCCAGAGCATGACTGTCCCTGGGGCCACATGGAATGAGGAATGAGAAGGTGGACACAGACCACACCGTTCTCAGGCGGCCTTTCATCTAGGTTGTAGTTTGCAGGGCACTGTCGAGGGATAATGCTAGAAGGTGGAGTGTAGCATGGAGCATCCGTGGGGAACAAGCCTCCCTCTGACACCAGGGCCGCGATCTCACCATCGTGGAGGAGGGAGCCCTCCCTGACCTCAGGAGCCTGGCCTCAGAATGGAACCTCCTAAGAGACGGAGTGGGGCAGCAGGGAGGACAGGCAGGAGCTGGCGAGAGTCGGCCCTAGAGGGAGCCCCTGGGAAGGGAATTGGCTTGGGGGTGTTGCTGCTGCTGTTATTTTAGGGCCGGTGGGGTAGGTGGGTGAGCGTCTCCCAGAGAAACCCCTGCTCGTGCTACTGTTCTCTCCTAAACTTCTGGAAGGAGACATGTGAAATTAGGAGGGGTGAAGGGAAACAGAAGGTGCAAAGGAGAGGACAAGCGCCCTAGGAGAACCAGCAGGGATGGGCTGATCCCAAGGACCGGCTGCGAGAGCAACCCCAGGATTTCTAGGAACAAGAACCTTTGGAGAAAACCGAGTGACTGAGATTGAGGCCGCTGAGGAGCCCTGCTGAGATGGGAGCCCAGCAGAGGGGCTGGAAGTTCTCAGAAGGGCAAACCAAGGATGGAAAAGAAGGTTGCAGTGGGCACAGAAGATGTGCCCCCGCCAGATGGGGCAGAATGTCCAAACCATATCAAAGAGTTGGGGGGGGAGGGGCTCTAAGCAAATGCACACCAGGACGGCTGAGAAGTGACCATTCTCTGTTGAAATCTAAACCCAAAGCACCTGCCACACCAGCCCCCGTGACTTACCAGTATTTGGTATCCAAATGTGAATGAACCGATGTCTTTGCTTGAAGACAGACAACTGTGCATCCTGGGTAACGAAGGGAGTGTGGAACCAGGCAGTGAGTGCGAAGGAACACCCGTCTGCTTCCACTGGGCTCCAGGCAGCACCAAGAGCCCCTGCTTTGTTAACTTAGTAGATAGAAGTCCAGGAGCTGCACACGGGTCTCGGAAGATTTTCTGTGGCACCGAGTGTCTGTCTCCTTCCTGTTGCAAGAGTGTCCAGGAGTGTGGTCCTCATGCCCTCCTGTCCCCATCCTTCTGTCTGCTCAGCTCTCCTACTCAGACAACAGGACAGGAATGCTGTTGGCTTTGAAGTCAGACCCGTCTGGGTCCACTCCCAGCCTGGCCCTTTTCCCACGGCAGATACAGGCAAAGTACTTGCTGCTCTGAGTCATAACTTCTTCTCAGAAGATGGGGATGGGGGTGATGGTTCCCATGCAGTGCCTTGCCTCTTGTCTCCGTGAGGCATAACTGGGCAGACCCATAGGACTCCTGGATCCTGGCAGGACATGTGACAGGCAGTATCCATGGCTCCCTCAATGGGACTTGTCCACAAAGGAGACCATCCAGTCCCTGGGGGACCAGGACCCATTCTCTGAGACAGCGCAGGTGCAAGGGAGTGAGACACACAAGCAGGTATGCGGGCGGCCCTGGCTTCGAAACCCCAAGTCCTCAGTAGGAGTCAGTGTTTTCTTGTGACTGTCCTGGGCACTGCTTCCAAAGTTCCTGCCAGGGACAGGCCAGTTCCAAGAGGCATTGTAGTCATGGGACCTCAGAGCTCTGGTGGCCCAGCAGACCTGTACCTGGACTTCATCACAGCCCTCCATTCCTGGGGCGGGAGGGTGATGTACACCCCTCATGGCTGTCTTGTAGCACAAAGTCCTCCATGGGTGTGGTTCCCGGGACAGAAGAACTACAAGGTCAGGCAAACCCTGGGTCAGTGTCTTGTACAGGAAGGAAAAGGGTCGGGTCCATCCTTTCCCACCACCCTCCTCACAGATCTGCTGGGGAGGCTGTAGGGAGAGCCCTGTCAAGTTCCTGGTACGTGGTGCAGCCCATCCCCCTCATTCCTGCCTCCTCTGTGACCAGTGGCAACCTGTGCATAGCTGGGCAGGGAAGTCCAGGGCTCACCCCTGTGCCCCTCCCCCCATACCATTCCGGTGGTGCTGTGGGCCAGGAGACCAGCCAGGCTGACAGGCCGTCCTCATTTGGGATGTGGGACTTCTAGTTTGAAAGTGGGGTAAGTCCCTGTCAAGCCGGGACGAGTGGGTCCACATATGGCACAAGGACATGGCTGCTGACCCTCCTTCATCTTGGCACCCAATGCTCACGGATATAATTGCCCTCTCTGGCATGTCGTGAGTGGGACTTCTGTGAAATGCAAAAGGTGGGGCGTGTGTGCTACACTGATGCTTCTGGGGTTAGCTCATCCAAAAGGCATGGGATTTCCTGACTGCTCCCAGCACAGTTTGTGGCCCTATGGGGGGGGAGCCCATAGGTGCATGGGGCACCTTGTTAGGGTTCCCTGGTAACCTTGGAGAGATGAACACTGTGCTTTAGCGTGAGCTCAACACGTATCTGAGCAAATTCATTAGCTTTCCTCCCACTGACCACTCCTTCCCCCTTTCTTCCCTGTCCTTTCAGCCTATAGGCTGAAAGTCTCCCAGTCTGGGTCTCTTGCTTTTCCAGCACTTTCCATAGCCAGTTTGTGACCCGTGGAATCTTGCCCGATGGTCCCAGTACAATGACATGTTTGTTTTTGCCTGTTTTCTCACATTCAACCAGAACCTGCTAGAGGTCTACCAGCTAGAGAGTGCTCCTCCCTGAGGTTGTCTAAGAGCTCTTGCGGGGCTTCTGCAGACCCCATACTATGCTTCCCCAGACTATGCCCAGCAGTTAAGTAATTTTCCCGGGATCCCATCTGAGACTGGAGATGAGATTCAGCCCCAGACAGCGTGGTCCAGATGCCTAACTATATCCCCTCTCAGCTGACAACCCAACCCATCACCTTGTGCCAGTCTGTGTCTCTCACAAGCCCTGTGGGTCACCCTAGAACACTGGTCACAGATGGAGAAGTACACTTAAAAACAAAATCTCCTGGGGCGCCTGGGTGGCTCAGTGGTTAAAGCCTCTGCCTTCGGCTCAGGTCATGATCCCAGGGTCCTGGGATCGAGCCTCGCATCGGGCTCTCTGCTCAGCGGGGAGCCTGCCCCCTCCTCCTCTCTCTCTCTGCCTGCCTCTCTGCCTACTTGTGATCTGTCAAATAAATAAAAATCTTAAAAAAAAAAAATCTCCCAACCCAGAAAACCTCTCCATGGAGGTAGACAAGAAAGAAAGCACGTTTATTCTTAAAGGAACAGCAAATAGAGTGTGATGCACATTCCAAGTGCTTTGCTCAGAGATTTGCAAAGACAGAAAGAAATCTCACCCTTTTACTAGCCAAGCCGCTACAATCCATCCTGCACGTGTCCTCAGGATAATAGCGATCAGTTCTCCAATAAGAGGACTTGACAGTGCCATCTGTTACCCACTGGTCACCCTAAATCCACCTTGCCATCGGGGTGGCCCTCTGTGTTTGTTGAGTTGGTTTGTTTTTGCTTTTGTTTTCAGAGGCAGAGTTCAGTGACTCATCAGTTGCATATCACACCCAGTGCTCACCACATCACGTGCCACCCTTGATGCCCGACACCCGGTTACCCCATCCCCCAGCAACCCTCAGCTTGTTCCCTAGAGTTAACAGCGTCTCTTAAGGTTTAATCTTCTTCTCAATTTTCATCTTTTTTTTTTTTTATACAAAGGAGAATGAAATTTTCTCGCCTTTATGCCAGGGTGGCTGTGGGGTGTGGAGGCAGGCACCCCTGGAGTCCCGCCCCTCGCCTCCCACAGGACCTGGGAGATGAGGTTCTAATTTCCTTGAATGTTTACATTCCAAAGAGATGGTCCCCAGGCCCTTCAGAGAGACATCCCTGGGTCAGAAAGCTGGAAAAAGTCTCTTGTCACCTCCTGCATGTCCCAGAGACCTCCATCCTCAAAGCAACATCTGAGCAGGCCCTCCCAGCCTTTAAACACTCCCATACACCAACCCCCCAGTCCCTCCAGAGAGGGGGCAAAGTCTTTACCCTTGAGCTCAAGGCCCACATGGACATGGCCCCAAGCCACCTTCTGTCCTTCCTCATTTCCCTCTGAGCACCCACAGGGCTGGCCACTCCCTTCATCTGTCCTGATGCTGCCATGGGGCTGGGACACCCAGGCTGCCTCTGCCTGGTAGAATCCTGTGCCCACCTCTTCCAGTTGAGGTCCACCATCCCAAGTGCCTCCAGCCCCCAGCTCCCTCCCGCAGGACATGTTTGTTCTTGCCGGGCTCGTGACGTGTTCATTTCTCACCTCCCAAGTTTTGGATTCAGAGCCGGGTTTGAATCCTGACTCTAGCATTTCTCCTAGATGAGGCCTGGACAAGGCCCTCCACTTTCTGGAGCCTCTGTCTCACCATCTACAGAATGGGTATGATAATGCCCACCTCCTAGGGTTAGTGGCACAGTCGGACCAGCTAGGGTGACGTGACCAAGATCTCAGGTGACACGTGAAGTGCAGCACTAACTCTAGGTCCCTCATCAACGTTTCCTGTCCTCAGAGAGGAGGCATAGAGCTTGAGGGTCGGACTTGAGCTGCACCACTGAGAGTTTATATTTCTGATGGTCCTGCCTGGAAATTTCAGTTTACCTCTCTGTGCGCATGGTTAAACATTTATTTTTTTTTAAGATTTTATTTATTTATTTGACAGATCACAAATGGGCAGAGGGAGAGGGGGAAGAGGGCTCCCCGCTGAGCAGAGAGCCTGATGTGGAGCCAGATCCCAGGAGCCTGGGGATCATGACCTGAGCTGAAGGCAGAGGCTTTAACCCACTGAGCCACCCAGGCGCCCCATGGTTAAACACTTAATTCCAAGTGACTTTTCTGTGATGTTTTCTTGCTTTGGGTGCGTTCTGGCCTGCCAGCTTGTAAACGGAGAGGACGTCATTCATATTGTATGATGCGTGTGAGTGAAACCCAAGGCCCACTCGTGAATAATTCACCTGTTCTTGCCCTCCTCAAAGGGTGTTCTGCGCAATCTGAAGGCCCCACAGGCACCTGGAAATCTCCAGAAAGTCAGTGCTGCAAATCTACTCACTGTTACGAAGCCGTGACCCGTGACCTTTGTCTGGGATGGAGCCCACAGCTACAGGACGGACGGAGAAGAGTTTCAGCTATGTGGTCAGGGCACCCAGCAGCGATGGGTTTGACGTAATGAATGTGGATGTGAAGATCGACACGTGCTGGGTATTTCAGGACGCGGAGGACAGCGGTGAAGAGTGGGGCTGTCCTGCGGACGAAGCTGCTGGAAGCCCTGATGTGGACCCAGGCACACTCAGGAAGCAGCTGGAATCCTCTGAGCAGAAGCTGTTGGCTGCTGTGGACCAGTACGTGATGTCTGAGTCCGAGCTAAGGAGCAGGTAAATAAGACGTTTGGATCTTCTTGGTGTATTGAACGATCAACAACTGGGCATCTTAATGGGGTTAGATGGTATGTTGACTTGTGTCTGCAGCTGAGGATGTGATGCCTGGGGCAGCCTCCCCTCTGGTTCCTCCTCCATTCTGTCCTCTGCTCTGCACGTCAGGGGCTGAGCCTGCACCATGTCCCAGGCTTCCGCACTCTGGCTTCCATGGAAGCCCAGCCAATGGGAGGGAGGAGTGGAGGAGGAAGGGAGAGGCCAGGGTACTTTGCCCTCTCCTGCTCAGGGTGACAATCCGCAGTGTCCCAGCCATGCTTTGGGTGTCCTCTCCGGTCCTCCCCTGCCTGGTGGCTGGCTTCTAGACCCAGTATCATCTCCTAAGCCCAGAATCTGCAGGGGCAAAGGGGCACCTGGCAGGGGCTCATCTCTGGGTCGCCAGTCCTCTCTGTCTGGCCTTTTAGCAATTCCGTCATCTTTATGACAGACTCTCTGCGCTTGTTTCTCACTATTGACTTTCCTGGCCTCGGTTTCTGTTCTCCTGGTGGAAGTGACAGGGTCCAGAGGTTGGGATGCGAGCCCAGGTCCTCCTCTTAGCCTGTGCTGTTTCCTGACCGTTATCCGGTACAGAGCCCAGCAGAGTGAGGTGGGGTCCTGTGTGCATGTCGGGGGAAATCCCACATGGAGATGCAGGATGGTCACACCTGGGATCCACCCTGACAGGCTTACCATGATCCCAGCAGCCAAGCATCTTGGATTTATCTGGGACTTCACCATTTTCTTGTATTTTCCTTCATTTTAATAAAGGCAAGCTGTTAAATGTGTATTTACATGTGCTTTTTATCTTTTTTCCTCTTCGTAAGACTTTTTACAGGTAGGAATTCACATAGCAAGAAAGTAGTTTTGTTACTTGATGAGGTTGTCCAGCCATCCCTCCATTCTTTCATTCATTCATTGATCACTCACTCATTCTGCCACCTGCACCGGCCCACCCCCGAATTGCATGCTGAGTATGTTAGTTTGCTGAAGCTGCTCTAACGGAGAACCACAGACTGGGAGACTTCACGGAACCGTACTATCTCACACTCCTGGAGGCTAGAAGTCACAAGTTCATGGTGCAGGCAGGTTCCTTCTGAGGCCTCTCTCCTTGGTGTGTAGATGGTCGCCTTCTCCCTGTGTCCTCACGTGTCTATCTTTCTGTGCGTGTCCATGTTCTAATCCCCTCTTCTTGTAAGGACCCTAGTCAGATTGAATCAGGGTCCACCTGGATGACGTCATGGCAACTCTGCTACCTTTGTAAAGTCTCTGTCTCCAAATACAGTCATGTTCTGAGGGGCTGGAGGGCAAGATTTCAGCATATGAATTTGAGGGGACACACGTCAGCCCTGGGGTTGAGACCCAGGGAAGGTAGGGCCCTCCCAGCCTCAGAAAGAGCTGCGGTGTAACCCCACATGGTTGTGGATTCAAATCTTTCTCCAGAAAGTTGGCAGTGAAAACCAGAAAGTCATCAGGCCCAGGGAAAATGGTGGGAAACCCCTACCAAAGGAGACCCCTCCATGCAAGGAGAGTGGTGGAAGGGGAGGAGATGGAGGGGAGGGGGCTTCTGGGACTGGGGCCCGGGGTGAGGCCACTTGGGACGGGTCATCCTGGACCTACCTGTGGGGAAATGTGGGCTGTGTCCTCTGTTCTCAGAAGGTGGGCCACCCCATCCTGCATGAGCGGAGCTGGGGCAGGGAGGACAGAGTGCATTATCCAGGGTCCCTAAGAGCGGAAGCCAGGATCTGAATGCACAGTGCGTTAATTTGACCATGGGTGTTACCTTGCCAGAGTACAGTAAAGGTTGGTAGTGTATACTGGGCTTCATTCTGATGAAAGAGTTAAAATCCTAAACTATTTATTATGGGGTTCCTGGGTGGCTCAGTCAGTTAAGCACCTGACTCTCAGTGTCAGCTCGGGTTGTGATCTCGGGGTCGTGAGATCGAGCCCCACATGGAGCTCTATGCTAAGCACAGGGTCTGCTTGAATTTCTCTCTCCCTGCGCTCCTCCTCCACCGAAATAAGGAAAGAAAATTCTTTAAGTATTTATGATAAAAAGAACAAAGAGAGTAGTTAGAAATTTGAGAAAGAAAACCCAGTCCCGTCTTAACTACCTTGTCAATCATGCGTATTCCTCTCCAACATAAATGCCGTAAATGCCGCAAGACTATCAGTAGTTCTGCCCTCCTTGAGTGTTCACGGTTCCAGGCACAGTTTACATGTTTGTTCACATGTTTTAGAGACAAGGGGTGGGGGGATGAGTGAGCTTGGTGGTGGGTATTAAGGAGGGCGCGTATTGCATGGAGCACTGGGTGTGGTGCATAAACAATGAATCTTGGAACACGGCATCAAAAACTAGTGATGTATTTTATGGTGTTTACATATTTACGTATTTAATCCTTAAAGCAATACCCCAGATCGGGTGATAGTATTATCCTCAACTTGCAGGTGGGGAAAAGAAGGCGTAGGGCAGTTCAGTGATGTCTCCATGGTCACCCACATGTCCAGTCACATGGCAGGGGACTGGGACTTGAACCCAGGCGGCCCGCCCAGGGTGTAACGGCAGCCACACCATTTCTTCTCCTGCCTTGGGGAGGTCTCCCTGCTTCCTTGTTCTATGCAGCACTGAGTAGAAATATTTAACTGGTCCTTAATCTGAAAAATGGTACTCCATCGTCCATTTCCTATTCTGAGCATATCGGTGCCCAAGGGCTTCGAAAATACAATACTGAAACTTGGTGGCTTAAAGCAACACATGGGCAGTAGAGCGTAGGGTTAAAAGTATGAGTTTGGGAGTCAGTCTGGCCTCTAGGATGCTGTGTGACCTCGGGCGAGTTGCCTGGCCTCTCGGATCCTGAGTTTTCTGGCATGTGAAGGAGCGGTAGGGGAACTCACCTGCAGGCTGGTAATGTGAGGGTTGATTGAAACAACACAAACAAAGCTCTCGCCATGGGTCCCTGGCTCTGTTCTTTGTTGGTATCGCCTGAACTTGGGATTGCTGGCTTAGGAAGAAGAGTCTTAAGATTCCTGAGGCAGGGTGCATTATTATTCCGTAGATACTTCTGACGTAGTCTAGATCATCTTACATGTGTATGAATGTTTCACGAAATGTGATTTTGTCAGAATTTCAAATTGGCCAATGACCAGAAAAAAAAAAGATGGTTGGCCTCAGTGTTGGTGAGAATATTGGGCCATGTTTACTGCCTCCTGATTAAGCATCTTCCTGCCTCAATGCTGCAGGATCCAGGAGCTGGAGCTCTCCGAAAGACACCTTCTCCGGATGGTGGAGCAGCTGGGTGCCCGTGTGACACAGGAAAGGAGCGCCACTGTGCGAGCCCAGGAGACGCTGCAAGCCCTGCGGCGGGAGCTGGCCAGCCAGGTACCGCGTCCCCTCTTCTTTCCAGAACTTGTTTCTTGACCCAGCAGGGTGGCCCCATGTGCTCAGAGGAGGCAGCGGCTGCCGTTGGGGTGGGGGTGGGTAGTGGGTGGGTGGGGTGGGTAGTGGGTGGGTGGGGTGGGATGCTGTGAGAGCCTAGCCAGGGGGTTTAGAGGGGACCTCATTCCAACAATGCAGGCGGGGGCAAGTTCCCAGGGCCTCTCTGGGCCTCAGCTGCCCCACCTGTACAATGAGATCCACATCCCGCCTTGTCTGCCTCCCCAGGGTCCTGGCTGGGATCCGCCAGGGGGAGTGGGTTGGTGAGAGCATTGGTTGACCTGCAGGGGCCGTGTGCTCACAGAAGTTTATTTCCATGTCCCAGGGAAGCCAGCTCTGGCCTAGGGGCAAGCTGATGACTAATGTAGGGTCCCTGCTCTCGGGAGCTGGCATGCAGGTGGGGACATGGATAGGAGACAAGGACCTCCCAAATTGGATGCCAGGTGTCAGGGGAAAGGTGCAGGCACATGGTGTGTGCATGGAGTCGAGGGTAGAGGGGAGCTACAGAGAACCGAGCCAACTGAGTTGGCCCTTGTGGGAAGTGCGTGTGAGATGTGTGTGACAGCCTGTGCAAGGGCACAGGAGTGTGGGAGAACATACTGGAGCCAGAGCAGAGGGTGTGGGCACAGAGAGGGCACTGGCAAGACTGGAGGGTTCCAGAAGGGCCAAGTTGCAAGAACCATGGTGTGGACCAAATATTAATTGCAATGAGGAACAGGCTTTAGGGAACTTTGACAGGAGAGGCTCAGGATAGGGTTTTGGGGCAATTATTCTAATTGCATGGGAGAGAGAGAGAGATGGAGGCACGGGGACAAGTTAGTGTTTTGGACAAGCAGTGACTGGTGCCAAACCATGACTCTGCCACTCCCTGGCTGTGTGACCTGTGGCGAGTGATTTAACCTCTCTGGGTCTCAGTTTCCTCCTCTGTGAAATGGGAATGATATAGTCCCAACTGTCTGGGGCTGTTGTGTGGGCTGAGTGAGTTAGTACATGTAAAACACAATAGTTGCAGTGAATAACACCAGCTGCTTTCATAAATATTAGCCTTTATTGCAAGATTCCAGGGGTGATGAAGGCTGGAGGTAGGGGACACTTAGGGAACACCGCAGAGGCAGAAAAGACAGGCTCCCAGGACGGCTGTGTGCGGCTCTCAAAGCCTCCCTGCCGCCACCCCCAACCCCAGAGAGCCCAGCAGTGACCATCTAGCTGCAGGTGGAAGCCCGCTTGTGGGTCATCAGACCAGTTCCCTGTTGGAACCAGCATTTTAAAAACGAGATCAACTAGGAAATAAGAAAGGGCATTAGCGTACAAGGAATGCTGTTCTGTGAAATTTCTGTTTCTGTGGCATACGTGTGCATGTCACGGGACATGGGCTGAAAGTGTGTTTCCCAGAGTGGGGGCAGTCCAAACAGCCAGAGAAGTCCTGATTTGGATGTGAATGGAATCAGACATGGAGGGTGGAGAGATGAGGAACTCACTGAAACTGAAATTCGTCTTCCAGATGCCAGGGAGACATGCGGATGGCATTTCCCCCTCTGCATTGAACTCTGGGTACAGAAAATTACAGTTACTTGTCCTCTGCTCCCCCAGCATGCCCTCACTGGTGTCATGAGAGGAGCCATCCAGTGCAATGTCGTGGCGTCGTAAGAGACCCCACCGTGAAGAATGTCATCTCCCCGTGGAAAATACCTCAATAAAGATGTGTTGGGCCATGCCCTAAATCCATGTAGGATTTCCAGGGGGTCTCAGTCACAGCTCCAGAGGCACAGGGTGCTCCCAGTGTGACGGGGAGACAGAGGAGGAGGGTGCGAACAGGGACAGTGCTGGTGGGGGACTCGGGGGCACCCCGGGACCCGCAGGTCTGTGCGACATTGTGGTCTCTTCTGCATCCATGTCCTTATTACCGTGTCCTGTGATGAATACTTTCCTGGGAAGACCTGTCAGGCAACCCCAGTTCCAGATGAGGGGCACAAGGTCTGAGGGGTGGGGTGCCTGCTCAGCATCCCTTCGAGACCGCTTGGCCCAGTTACAGGTCCTCCATGGTATCTGCATTTCAGAGAAAGTTTTGCAGGAGCGCACGGATGAGGTTTTTCTGCCTTGTGTACCTGATATTTGCCAAATGGCAGTTTTGCCCTCTTGTTGTCATGGTCCCAGGAAATCATTTGCATATGCAAAGTGACCTTGTTTCTGTAGTGACCTGTCATCCTTCTGAAAGCCAATAAAGGCAGACCAGTCGGGTGATGGAGCTGATTCTGGGATAACTGGGAGCAGTTTTCCCCCCAGGGAATCGGGACTCCAGCTTCATCTGCCCCATGGCCCCCAAGAACAGCTGTCAGAGCCTTCCGGGCCATCCCTGGGCTTACCTCTTCCACCGCACTCTGTGCTGTGTCTTCTGCAAGCTCTCCTGGGCCACAGCAGTGGCCAGCGGTCAGCAGGCACTCGGGGCTGAGACAGAGCTTAAAAAGGACACGGCACCACCTGCATAGAAATGGGCAAGGACTCCCATTTTCACCGTGGCCGGGTCACTCCAGTCCAGCTCACAGCTCCAGAGCCGGGAGAGGGCTGGGTCCAAGAACAGGGAGATATATTGTCCAGACTTTGAGGAAAAAGCCTTGAGTCAGATACACAGAAGTTCAAATTCCAGCCGTGGTGACTTGTAGCACAGTGGGATTGTGCTAGCTGCTTCTGAGCACTCCAAGGGGACAGTAATAGTGCCCGGTGCTTGGGGCTATGCACAATAAGGAACAGCTGTGTGCTGTATCTCACCAGCCAGAAACCAGGGCTGACCTTTGCAGGGCCAGGCATTAACCCTTTAGGGTTAGGGAAATGGAGAGATCTGGGAGGTCCTGGGTGGACGTGGGGAAACTCAGGGAGGTCTAGGCGGCAGCTCTTTACAAAGTGGTGTGGCCGTGTTCAGTACTGAAACCATGGGGGCAGCCTTCTCCGTGTGCCCCAGCTGATGCCCAGGCAACCCAGCACACAATTTCCTTGCAAGAGCCCAGGGAACTCCGGATGTGTGGGGCTCCTAGGAGGGTGAGGTAAGGGAGGTACTCCTCCCCTGTAAAATCTCAGTAATGAAATAAATATTTGGTGCAATATTTTAATGCGAAATTAATGCACGAAAAAAAACCCCATGCACAAAAATACGGAAGTTTAAAATAAAAACAGTGTGGGCGACGGTGTGTCCCCAGGGCTGGCTTCCTGACGCCCTCATCCACCGCCAACTTGTAGGTTCTGGAAAAGGAGTGTGCAGCTCGGCGGCAGCGGTGGCGGCTGCGGCGGCTGCGGGAGCGTCTGCGGCGCAAGGACGAGGCGCTGGGGCGGCAGGCGGCGGCTCTGGAGCGCTGCCGGCGGACCCAGCGGCTCCAGCTGGGCCTGGTGCGCGAGCAGGAGCGCGGCCTGCGGGAGCAGGTGCAGCGGCTGGAGCGGGACGTGCGGCGCCTGTGTCGCGCGGCTGGCCTCATGCTGGCCGAGCTGGATGTCCCGACCCCAGGCAGCTCCGGCAGACTCGGCCCAGCCGGCCCCGGGGGTGACCCCGGTGAAGCCGCGGAGCTGCGCGCTCTGCAGGCGCGGGCGGAGCGCGGGGAGCGCGAGCGGGAAGAGGCGGCGCGCCGGCTTCGGGAGCAGCGCGCCACCGAGCGCCGGCTCCGCGTGCAGCTGGAGGATCTGCGCTGTTACATCTATGAGCTCAAGCTGTCGGAGATCGGCCTGCAGGGCCAGGTGGAGGACCTCGCGCAGCAAAACCAGAGCCTGCGAGAGGCCCTGGGGACCCAGGCCCCAGGGGAGAGCGCACGCAGCAACGCCGCTGCTGGCCACTGCAGCCCGGTAAGTGGCCGCAACCCAGGGCATGCGTGATTTGTTGATTTTTCTCTAACTTTATTCTACAGCCACGTGTTAAGTCACCAGCTCCTTCATTTCCAGTCTTCCTCTCCATCCACTCATCCAACCCCAGCAACCTTATCCATCCATCCTGGTTCCATCAGTCACCTACCCACCTAAGGGCAGAGCTAGTGAGTCATACAACTCATCTACCCATCCTCCAACGCACTCACCCCACCAGCCATCTGTCCACCTTCTCATCCACCCAACCACCTGTCCACCCACCGACCACCCACTTGTGTCCATCCGCTTGTCTTCCCACCCTCCACCATCTCATTCACCCTACCACCTGCCCATCCATCTCTCCATGCAACCGCTCTGCAGGGAGCCAGCCAGCTACCCTTTACCTTTCATCATGTTCTCCCTTCTGTCTCTCCATCCATCCAGCAGTTAATGAGTCCCTGCTGTGTGCCCGGCCCCGAGCTGGATGAGCCCCTTTGGGTGTGCACTATTATGTAACTGCCTGGAAAGCTTTCCTGATCCTTCCCTTCCTTACAGAGGTGATGACCCTCTTCTGTCTCCCACACAGCTCCAAAGGTGGGGATGGTTCCCTGCCCGCAGTGCTATACGTGAATCTTCATTTCTCCTGTGTTAGACTGTGAGCTCCTTGAGGGCAGGGTCTGGGTGGGATGGGTCGTAGTAGCCCTGGTCCTACACCAGTACACAGAAGGTCCCCAGGGCTAGCAACAGAAAAACGCACAGGGTTGGGTGCTCTTCTGGTTCTCTTATTTACTAGCTGTGTGACTTTGGGCAAGTTTCTTAAGATCCGCAAAGAAGGGCGGACCGGACATTTATTTATTCATTTGACTGACAGAAGAGTAAAAACTTATGTTTAAGATATTCCTGCCCTGTGCTCAGCACCGTCCTGGGAGTTCTCGAAGGCATTATTTCTTTAATTGGGCCCTATTGGTATCCCCACCCCACATATAAGGAAATGGAAACCCAGAGAGGTAGTGCATCGATCTGTTGTCACACAGCTAGTAGAGAGCAGAACTAGAACTTGATCCAGATTTGATGGGGGTCCAAAGTGCTCTGTTTCTCCTGCACCAGCCTGCCTCCCTGAGAGGAGAGAGTTAACTCAGCCCCGTCCCAAGAGATCACTCCCAAGAGATCAAGATTGTGCTTATCTCTACCAGGTTGATTTACGTTTAAGGAAAAAAAAATCAGTGAACAACCTTACCGAAAGAAGACTACTCGTTAAACAAACTAACAACAACAACAACAACAAAAATCAAACTTTTTTTGGATAAGATAAATCTATTTCAAATTAACTAGAATTTTAGATGTTCTATGGTGTCTCTCTGCATAGATCATTTTAATAATGAGTTTCCCTGTGGCCATTTAAAAAAATTACTACTTTATGCTCTTGTTGTCTCTCTCCTGTGTGATCTATTCACTCTTCCTCCATTCCACCCATCAGATAAAAGGAGACCAGTGTCCACTTCATATTGGTACCTTATTGTAATTCCGGAAAATAAATGGTGTATAGATGGAAATTGTCATTTATTGGGGCTGCCGTGATGGAGGACCGTGAACCGAGTAGTTTGAACAGCAGTGCTAGAACCTGAAGTCCAAAGTCAAGGTGTCTGGAGGCTTGGTTCTCTCTGAGGCTGTGAGGGAGGGTCTGTTCCAGCCCCTCTCCTGGGCTGGTGGATGCCGTCCTCTCTCTGTGTCTTCCCAGTGTCTTCCCTGTCTGCACGCCTATCTCTGTGCCCAGTGTCCCCTTTTCATAAGGACACTGGTCACACAAATGGGCCTCATCGTAACTAACTGAATCCATAAAGACCCCATTTCCAAATCAGGTCACATTCTGAGATTCTAGAGATTAAGACTTTAACTTGGGAATTCTGGGGGACACTATTCAACCCGTGACAAGTGTCCCTGTGGATGAACAGTTATGAAGACCTGTGAGGTGGTAAAACTGTGGGTTCCAGTTCCTTGATGGTAGGGACATGTGCTCCCTCGCCAGCTTTGCGTGGGGGGATGTCGATGGTCCCCGACACTCATGAGAGCATCTTTGTACCAGATGCTGTTTTCTGGGCTCTGTATCTGCCACTCATTTAGTCCATCCACAATCTTTGGAGGGAGGCAGTGTGTTATCCTCATTTCACAGAGGAGGACGTGAAGGTACAGAGAGGCTTGTGACCTGCCCAGGATCACAGAGATATGAAGTGATGAGGCGGGAGTTGTCCCCCCAGGCTCCCAGGGTTTGTGAACGCCACACTCTGCCCCTCCAGTTCATCCTGGCCCATGGCTTAGTAATTTAGGTTCTCACAGGTGCCCGCTTGCTGCCTCTGCTTGGCTTAGGCTTTGGCTGGGTCCAGGGACTGCAGAGTGCCCAAGACAGTCCCCTGTCTACACAGGATGACAAAACCATCTGAGTGCAGAGCGTGGGGCTGAGGAAGGGGTCTGACCGTCCATGGGTTGCTGCTGGGGGTTCTGGCATTTAGAATGGGGGCTGGACCCAGGGTGATGGGGTATGACAGTCTGCCAGGCTCTGTCTTACTCTCAGAGGTCAGTGACAGCCTGGACTTGGGGCATTTTGGAGTCAGAAGGGCCATCTTGAGAGCAAGAAGTCCTCCCGAGAGGGCCACCGGAAGATGCAAAGTTCCAGCCAGTTAGCAGCTCGAAGGGAAGTGTAACTGAGATTTAAAATTTAAATGCGAGAGGGGCACCTGTGTGGCTCAGTCACTGGGTGTCTGCCTTCAGCTCAGGTCATGGTCCCAGGATCCTGAGATCGAGCCCTGCATCCGGCTCTCTGCTCAGAGGGGAGCCTACTTCTCCTTCTCCCTCTGTGGTTCCCCTGCTTGTGCTCGCTCTATCTTTCTCTCACTGTCAAATAAATAAATAAATTCTAAAAACAAAAATTTAAATGGTAGAGCCTATTGATAACAAAACTGCTGGTGCCCTTAAGGGTCTTGGTGTAGAATTGAACACTTAAGAAACTGTAGGCAGAGTTCTGAGAACATTGCACAGGTGTGTGATTTCCTAAAGCCCAAAGTACATTTCCGAAGGGACACAGAGAGGTCAAGAGCTATAGGCAGGGGTTCAGTGCCTTTCTCTGGATAGCTGTGGTGACCCCTAGTGATCTCCTTTTGTAATCCTCCTGGCCACTGTCACTCTGGGATCAAGTTCAACCCCCTCCCTGTGGCATTCAAGGCCCCTGGTGCTCTAGGCTGGCCTCCTCCTTCAGGCTCATGGCCTGCTCCTTCCCACCACCCTGCCTTGGCCACACTGAGCTTCCTCAAGACCCTAATGAATCCAGGCTCTTCGGTCTTGCAGCCTTCCCTGTGTCTAGAAGCTTCAACCTGCTCCTCTCGGCTGCTCAGTAAACTCTGCTGCTCTCTCTCCATTCAGTGGGAATGCTGCTTCCTCTAAGACTTTCCCAGTCTTCCCAGTTCGTTCCTTCCTTGTGTCCTTGTAGTGGCATGACCCACCGCTGGAAGTCCTCATTCTCACTGTGTGAGGCCTGGCAAGTGTTTTCCTCCTTGTTTAAGATAGCCTTGAACCCCAGGTTTTGGTCACAGCTGGGAGGGTCTTGGTGAACTAGTGGCTCAGGGTGTAAGTGACCTGGGAAGATATTCGCTCCACTGCCTGTGGCAAATGGAAACTTCCAGCAAAGGGACTGCTTCACAGTGGCAGTGCTAGAGGGAGGCATAGAAACTGGGAAACCTGGAGCAGTGTCTAGCCCCAGGGAAGTGTGTATCAGATAGAAAACCATTACAGATCATCAGGGAGCCCCCCCCCCGCCCGGCAGCCCACTGGTTACGTTTGAAGTGCTCTGGGCAAGGAGGTATGCATTATGCTGCTGTTAGTCTTCACGGGAAGAGGTTTTACTCGCTTTATGTTTACAAACACTTCTCCACACAGGATCTCATCAGCTCTGGGAGGTAGCCAGATAGTATCTGCGACCTGACCCCACAGTCCAGAGGAGACACATGAGTTGCCTGGGATCTCACACTTGCCAGTTTCCAGAACACATCACTTGGGACCCAGGTCCCTGAAGGAACAGACCATAGCAAGGACAAACCCTGACCTGGGGAGGTGTTTGGGGAGGGGTTTTCTGCTCAGGGCGTGGGTGAAAGGAAATTTAAAAGGACTGTGGTTTGCAAGACAAGAAAGGCCTGCCTGCAAATGTGTCTGCTTTTTAGTGAGTGCACCCTGAGTACCTGCATGTCCCAGGCACTGTGCCGGCACCAGAGCTGGAAAGCTGACCCTGCTCTTTGAAAGCTTATAGGGGAGACAGACACAGGTGCAGACACTGGAGACTTGGTCTGTAGCAGGGGACAGCCCGGGGGTTGCGGAGGCTTGTGCAGGAAGATGGAAAGTCACACACTTAGAAATGTCAGTGTCACGCTGTCCCAGAGCAGACATCCTGCTCCTGGTGACAGTAGCATTGGGAATGCTGACGCTCCTCCTCGAGCCTCTCTGTCCTGGCAGTGCAGGCAGAGTGACCCCTGGTGGCGGTTATGAGAATGGTTTCCTTGTTCTGCGCATCCCAGGCGGCCCCGTCCTTGCACAGTTTGCATCTGCGGGGAAGTGTCTATTGCACATTTGGTTCTCGAGGGCTTTCAAACACAGGTCGGTAATGTAAAAAAAAAAAAAAAAAAAGAAGCTGTAGCAAAGCCACGATGATACAAGTAATGTAAAGGGAAATACAGATGGTTAGTGGTCTTAGGCAAAGATATCAGGTTCCTTAGTTACAAAATTAATACAAATACTCGAAAGCTCGAGATTGCATTCTATTCTGAATAATTATCAGATATTGAAAGCACCTCGGCGCTGTTTATAGTTGGTGAACGTTGGAAACAACCTAAATGTCCAATAAGAAGGAACTGCCTTGGTAAGTGAGGGTGTTCCTTCTGTCAGAGGGTGTTCGGTGGCTACAAAGCAGCACATTATAGAAGATCTTGTGGGACATGATCCTCCGCGGTCATCAAATGAGAAATGCACAGAGCAAAAATGGACTTTCTGTAGAAACAGACTTTTGGAAGAATTTAAATGTCTCTACATAGAAGAAAGCCCAGAAGGATATATTCTAACACATGGATCGTGTTTGTGTCTGGATCACTCCATATTCTTCATGTCCTTCTTTTTTGGTTATCTTTCAAAATAGTTGCACACGAAAGCTAAATTCCTGTGAAATTGGGGGGTCACTGCTCCTGTGAGTAAAGGAGGACAGGAAGGGTGGACTAGACTGAGTAGAGAGGGGCAGGGGGCGGGGGAGAGAAAGCCCGGATCCAGTTCAAGACCTGAGCTCGGGTTCTCTTCTCCCGCCTGTGTGCCATGTGTTCTCAGACAAGTCATTCTCCCTCTCTGAGCCATCATTTTGTCACTTGGGACATGAAGGAGGGGTGGGTAGCATCGTATTCTAGGATGCCCCTTCCTCCCCGTCAAGTCACCTCCCGAGGCAGGGTTCTATGAGTTTTATCCACGGTGGCGTCCCCAGCTCCAGCCCAGGGCCTGTCCCTTATAGCTGAGCTCGGGAGGTATTTGTGGAACCGAGCTGAAGTCAGCTGGGGTATGGGAAGGAAATCCGAACAGAACTGAACGGTGCAGCGGTGCTGGCATTTGAAGCTGCCCTCCCAGCTGTCCTTGGCCCACTCCTTTCTCCTCCTTACTGTCTTTCTCCTGCCGGGTTCCCACGTGGAGTTTCTGTCTCTCCCATTCTCTAGCCGGTTCCCTCCTTTTCTTCTCACTCCTTTCACTTCCTTTCTCTTCTGCCTTCTCCCTCCCCCACGTCCCCTTCACCTCTTCTCAGTGGTGCCCGTGAGCTGCCGGCAGAAGGGCTTCATTCTGATCACATGGGAAGCAGGTGGATCGACCGGCGAGAGTGGTGTCCGGCACTGTGGGTCAGTGGGCCTGGCGCCCCCAGCAGAATGCTGGTGCCCAGGCCCCTCTGGCTTCAGCTGCTTTGGGCTGAGGTCCTGCTTTGTGACTGTTAAAAGCTTCCGGGTGATTCTAAGGTGCGACCAGAGTTGAGATTCCTGGTCTGTGGATGACAGATGTGACACAGATGACGGGAAGGTCCCAAATTCATAGCATTAGGGGAGATCCTTGAGGGAAGGGGTGGGGTTCTTTTGGGGGAGGACCAGGGAAGGCCTTGTTGAGGATTTGACCTTCAAGGTGAGCTCAGAGGGAAGCAGGATAGCTGGGCAGAGGGGCGGAAAGAGAGGCAGGCAGCAGGCACTAGGAGCGCATGGCTATGATGCAGGGGGCACAAGTTCCCTTTAAGGAGCAGAATGAAGATGGGGCAGTGGGAAGCATTGAAGGTTGGAAACATGAGAACCCCCTGATCCTGTTTCCACTGCAGTGGGTTTGCTCTGATGCTGAGTATGGTGTGGAAAGGAGGGGCAGAGAGCAGGGCGCAGGCAACCCACCTCCTTCCGAGGAAGATGTGCCAGCCTGGCAGGAGGAACAGCATATGCGGAGGTGCAGAGGCAGGCTAGAACCAGGGTGGGGGGGACAGGGAGGCCACCATGAGCAGAAGCCCAAGCGAGGAGCATCCCTTAGAAGGCCTGCAGTGCCCACTGCAGCACTGAACTCATCCCACACTAGGGGGAGCTAGGGGAGGCCATGTAGATGGGAGAGTGCATGCTGTGGGGGGGCCTCCCTGGCACTGTGAGCAGGACTGGGGGGGCAGGAGAGGTCTAGCTGGAGTCGATGCAGGGCTCTGCCGAGAGCAGGTGAGGATCTGGGGGACAGGTGAGAAGGGGACGGGTGTTACATATTCATTTCTCTTTATCCCTTACCTAGAATAGCACCTAACACACAGTTAGAGCCTAATAAGTGCTTGCTGAATAAGAAGAGCAGGTCTTCTGCGGGTTCTGCCGATCCATCTAACTACCAAACATTTATTAAGCACTGGTGTCAGGGTAAGGCAAGGGTGCAGACCAGGTGAAGCCACGTTGAAGGCCTGAAGGACTCATGGTCTAGTGTGGGGGGGTGGCAATGGAGGAAGCGAACAGCACCCACTAGAATCTGGCTAGAAGTAGCAGGGGGCTGTGGGAAGCTAGAGGAGACTTGTCCCCAGCCCCTCGTGGATGGTGGGTCAAAGACGAACCGTCTTTAACGCTCTACAGGGAGAGACCTGACTCAGTGAAGTTCCTCTCTGCACACCTGGCTCACCTTTTGGGAGAGGCCAAGGGGAGGGGGTGCCACTTGGAGATAGCGGGTGCGGCACTGGGGACTTGTTGACGGTGGAGGGACAGGTCCACCTGGAGAACATCCTGGAGTCCCTAGGGCTGGGATGGGCCCGGGGGGAAGCCTTCTGCTGTGAGGACACTCATGGCTCTCCTCCTGTGTTTTCCTCAAGGACACTCTGAGCTGGATTCGGGATGAACCCCCATCCCTGCCCAGGGAGGACACACAGGATGCCGGTAGAAGACAAGGGCCGCAAGCCACCGTCTGCTCTGCCGGTGGCCCTGGACTGGGTGGTTCCGCAGGTGTGTGTGGGGGGCGCCTGCACAGACATCTGCTGACGGGCTGACCTTCATCTAGGACCTGCCAATGTGTGAGTGGTGGGGGTGACTGCCCCACTCTACAGACAGGGAGCTGAGGCCCAGAGAGGTAGTGTTGCCTGCTTGATGTCACACAGCTGGAGAAGGGGGGATTAGAGTTGGCCATGTCCATGACAAGGTCCCTGACTTGGGCTCAACTAGACATTCAGGCTCACTCCTTCAGCCTCAGGAGGGTGCTGGCCAGTGTGGGACAGCTGGTGTCTCAGGAGGAGGGTCTTTGCAGAAGGCTATGGGATGGCTATCTTGTCCCTGCCCCACCCCTTGCCAACTCAGGTGTGAGACAGGTGCGAGGTCTGGGAGCTGCTGGGGCTGAGGAGCCCCTTGTCCCTAACTTGTCCTTAATGGGAACCAATGCCTCTGATCACAGTCTCGGGCATGGCTTCTGGATTCCCTGTTGCAAAAGCCAGGTACTGAGGGAGCCCCAAAACCATGATGTCCCACTGGGGGAGTCTGTGGTTTGCTTACAGTCTTCCAAGGCCAAACGAGGCTAGAGATGAGGGGGTATTTATAGCCCCCAGTGCTGCTGACCCATACAGCTGCCATTCCCCCTCTAGCCTATTTCTGGGGAGCAGAACTGGCAAGTCAAATGGTCAAACTTGTCCTGGGAGGAGAAGGAAGTGGGGCCTGTCTGGCGGCGAAGCCAGGGACCAGCTCCTTCGTCTGCATGCCAGACGTGTGGCCAGGGCTGGAGGCAGAGGATTACGACCCTGTGGGACCATGAGGGTGCCCGGGTTGAGGGAGGTGTCGTGGGATCTGTCACCTGTGTGAACGTCCTGGTCAGCAAAGGCGGCTTCCACACCCAGTCCATGACACATCACCAGACGGTCGTTTCCCATCTCCGATGCTGGTGCTGGTGATCATCAGGCCACCTCTGGGGCTCAGGAGCCTGGAGTCAGTGGCAAGTGGCAGGTCATGTCTAGAGCAGGAGGTTCAGTCACTAGTGACAGTTGTGAAAAAACTCCTAAGAGGGTCTCCTTAACTCCCGGGGTCCTCTTGCCTTCTAGGCCAGCCCTCTGAAGGCCTCTGCTCCTGGAATTGCCTCGGGGTTGGCCCAGGCCCCTCTGTTTTGGAGACCACGGATGAGACCCTGGAAGACATCACAGGATCTGACTGTGGACTGGTGAGGCCAGAGGCTTCCTGCGTGCCTGGGGTACCAACTGCGTGTGGGAGGTGGGAGAAGGGGCTAAAGAAGGGTTTGGAAGAACGTTCTGGAAATAACTGAGAGGGAGGTTTGAAGACACGGAATGGATACATACGTTGAAGAAGTGTATATAAAAATATAGTTTAAAATATCTGTGAAATGCATCTTGTGGGCCTGGCACTGGTCTAGGCCCAGGGACCCTGCCCTTGGAGCAGGTGGTCTACACAGCCATCCACGAAAGCCTTCCATGACAATGGAAAAGCATTACGCCTGTGTGGTCCAGTAGGAGAGCCATGAACCCCCAGCTTCCCAGCTCTTAAACCATGGCTGGTGGCCTGTGGCTACCATGTTGGACATATAGCGATTAAGGGGGTAGACAGTGTGTGCGTCGATAAACAGCAAGCTGTGAGAGGGTGGGGGCACAGTAAAGGGGAACGCACACAGTGTGGTAAAATGGCCAGGCAGCTGCTAGAGAAAGTAACATGTTAGCAGAGATGTGAATGGATAGAGAGTGAGCCACGAAGGGATCCAGGAAACGATATTCTGGGCAGAGGGAAGAGCAGGTGCAAAGGCCCTGGGGCACGGGTATTGGGCTCGGCGAGTAAGGGAGGCTGATATGGCTGGGTGAAGGGGCACCAAGAACATCAGGAGATGAGGTCAGAGAAGTGGGGGGGGCGCTAAATGGAGGAAGAGGCTGCTTCATACCTTCTCTTCTCTTCCCATCCCTAGCCAGCGCCAGCTGAGCCCAGCTTGGATGAACAGACTCTCCTTCTCATCTGTGGCTGCCCCCCCGGGCAGTGCAGGGATGGCTCACTCCTCCCTGTGGAGCTGGCCTGGATTTCAGAGCGAAGACTAGCAGCCGCCCAGGCCCAGGGGTCCTTTCTCCTGGTGCAGACGCCTCCACTCCCTCCCTGGGGGCCAGCCAGGGACCCCTCTTCCTTGCTGCCGCCACTGCTGCTCCAGGAGGCTTCTCCACAAGACTCCCAAATGCAACAGGTGCTGGATGCCTGGTCATTGCCTGCTCCCAGGGCCATTGGACAGCCCTGTTGGAATCATCACCAGGCAAAGAGCCCCGAAGCCTCCCTTTTCCAGGAGTCCCCACGGACTTCAAGTCACCGGTTTCCCAGGAGAGGGCCCAGAGATCTGAAAGACACTTGGAAGGAGGGAGGAGGACCAGAGTGGAGAACAGAGGAGGAGGGGGCGAGGAGGGCTTGGGACAGGAGGGGGAGGGAAGGAGGGCCTTTATCAGATGTGGAGGAAGAGCACCCCACAGCCAGGGTCCGGGGTGCCCAGAAGCCATCTCCAGCAGGTGCTCAGGTCCTTGCAGGGCAGGGTGAGGAGGAAACTCTTGTGTGGTCTGGAAAGGCTCCATGTCTGCGAGAGGAAAGCCCTGAATACGAAGGGCAAGAAGAGAAGGAGGAGGAGGCAGCACCTCTAGAAGGGTCCAGTCTGGGCTACAAGGACATCCCAGAGGAACCTGGCCCCATGGAATGTGCAGACCAGGGTACCCTCTTCTCAGTGGCAGAGGAAGGACTGTCCCCCAGATTGGGAGACCCAATCTTTCCACCCAAGGGGACTGAACGCACCAGTAACTCATGGGCTCCAAGCGAAGGACCTGGCAGTTCTGAGCTCAGACTAGACAAATTTGAAAAGGAGATGGAGGCTTGTTTCCAGCAACTCTCCATCCTGGAGCTTGGAGGAGACGGGCGGTGGCCACAAGCCTCCATGCTGGTGGGAGAAAGCACGAACTCTGCTTGGAGACGGCCCAGCTGCCAGGGGAAGCCTTCCTCCCAGCGGGCTTTGGGAAACCAGGGCTTGGATGTTTGTTTGGCCAGGGAAGTCAAACCCGGGGAGGCTAGTGAAGAGGTTAGACGAGAAGAGACTGAGGCCTTGGGAACCAGCGCGGTTCTTCCTGAGATGGTGCCTGCTTTGGATGACGTGAGGCTGGGCCCAGAATGGCCCTCTGAGCGAGGTTGGAATTGGCCTCCAAGAGCCCTTGAAAGGCAGAAGAGAAGGTTCCAGCAGCTCATTGCTGGACTGAAAAAAGAGAGAAGCCAGGTTTTACATGACAATGCTGAGCTTTGGGGCGACCGAGAGAGATTCCGTAGAAAAGTGAGTGTTCTGGAAAAAGAGAGGGACAGAAATGGGACAAAGATCGCCATACTTGAACGGGAAAACCGCATGCTGTTAGGGGACATCTCGCACTTAAAGGGGGAACTGGACCAATGTTGGCAGGTCATTTCTGACCTTGAGGACTGCAATGGGAAAAGTTACGGCAAAATTTCTGAGCTTGAAGAGGAGAATGAGAAGCTGAAAAGGCACGCGGCCCAGCTGCAGAAAGCCGTGTGGGAGAGCCTCAGAAAATCCAAAGGTGTGATGGAGCGTGTCACCCTGGGAAACCAGGAGCTCAAGGCACTGATCTCCGAGCTCGGGGTTGGTTACAAAGAGCTGATGAAGAGCATAGTGCTGGGAATAGAAGACACGGTCCGGGCCTTCAGCGGGGAGAATGCTCACCTTCTACGCAGAATCCGTGTCCTGGAGACGGAAGTCGCCTTGGGGGAGAGCACAGCAGTGCGGCGCGTAGTGAGAGCAGATGAGGGTCCGTGGGGGGAAAGTAAGATGTGGGGGGACAAGGGGACCGCTGTGGAAAAGGGGGTGCAAGTGACTCAGCTCTCAGGGCAACTGACCGCAGGAGCCCATGGTCCACCTATGGAGGAGAAATCGGGTGCAGCTGGCAGGTGTATGGGGCCTTCCTTAGGCATGGAGAATTCCAGATACAATGCCAATTCTGCCGCTCCGTCCTTGGTCTGGGGAAGTGCCGAGGTGTCCAGTGTCCCACAAGGACACATCCATGGAGCAGGAGTAAAAGAAGCACATTCGGAAGAGGAGAAGGAAAGACCATGGTGCTGTGCGGACCCAGCGCAAGCTCTGACGGCCCTGGACAATGGCCCCCAGGTAGACTGATTACTCACAACTGCTTCCTTACCACCTTGCTAGCTGTCTAGGGGGCTGACCACCCCTTGTCCTCATGTGAGGTTCCCCAGGCAGCCCTTGGAGGAGGTACCCACCTCATCACCCCCACTTAGCAGATGGGAGAATGAGGGCACAGGGAAGTGAAGTAATGGGCAATCATGCGGCAGGAGGAGTAGGGCTGGGACTGCCATGTGGGTGGTCCCCTGCTGCACACTGTCTGAGACGTTAGCCGGCCCCTCTGCTTAGGCTCTTCCCATGGCATCAGGTGGGACACTGGAGGGGGTGGTGTTGACACTTCAAGATCAGAGCTCATGTTTTCAGATCCAAGAGTTTATCAAGCAGTCCAAGTCCTAATTCTGCACAGTGGGTCCCTCTCTCTCTCCCTTTTTAAAAGATGTAACTGACATGCAACATTGTAGAAGCTTAAGTTGCACAGTGTGTTGATTTGATACATTCATGTATTTCAGTATGATTACTGCCCTCGGTTGGCCGACGACCCCATCATGCTCCACGTTGGGTCTTGAAAGGGATGATGGAAAGAGCAGGGACTTTAGGACTTGATCGGAGGTTAAACCCAGCTCTGCACTTACCACATCTATGATTTGGCCAAGACACGGGCTTTCTTAGTCATTGTCCACACATGTGGAGGATGCCCGCTGTTCAGGAATCCCAAGAGGAGATACTCATGATAGCCTCACCGTGGTCTTGCCTGTCTATAAGACGTTCAGTATTGACCCCTTTGTAGCCACTCATTCATTCTCTCCCTCCCTCTCTCTCTCCCGCTCTTTTTCCACTTTCTTCCCATTCCCCTCCCCTACCATTGGCAATTTTATCAATCAGAAGGAATCAGGGGATTCCTTTGGGTTTTGTCAATTTTCTTCATCGTATGTATTTTATTTCCCTGAATTCTGTTTATACCTTCATTCTTCCCTTTCTTTCACTTCCCTTTGATTTAGTTGGATGTTCCTTTTTCCCCCCCTTGCTTCTTGTGTTGAAAGCTCAGATCATTGATTTTCAGCTCTTCTTCTTTTGTGATCTATGCACTTCTGTCTCTGCGTGTCTCTCTGAGCACTGTTTCAGCTACGTCCCACACATTTTGATATGTTGTGCTTTTATGTCCGTTCACTTCAAAGTACTTTGCAGTTTCCATTTGTGACGTCTCTCTTTACCCACGGGTGATTTAGAATAGAGTTCCTGAATTTCCAAGCACCTGCTGAATTTTTTAGTTATATTTTTGTTCCCAACTTTGTAGTTTTATTTCACTGTTGTCAGAAAACATAACTATATTATTTTTTTTTAATTTGAGATTTGTTCTATCGACCAGATTAAATTCTATTCTGGCAAATAACCCAGGAGTCTTTGTAAAGTACTGAATGATCTGCCATTGTTGTGTATTGTTGATGGGGCCACGCTGGTTAATTCTGCTGATCAGATCTTCTGCATCTTTACTGACGGGCTGTCTATTTGCTTTGTTTTTTACCCAGATATGTTTGCAATCTCTGAGTGTGCATTTGTGTATTTCTTCATCTGGTATGTTAGTTTTGATTTGTATATCTGGAAATTATTTATGAGATACATGCAGACTTACAATTATGTTCTCCTGCTGACTTGACTCTTTGATCATGATGAAATGTCCCTCATTACCTCCCACGCTCCTTGCCCAAATTGCACTCGGTCTCATATGGAAGTAGTCACACCAGTTTCTTTCCCTTAGTGTTTTCATGGAATCCAACTTCTTTTAGACCACCCACCCTTTTGCATTCAACCTGTGGGCATCTTTCTATTTAAAGTGTGTTTTTTTTTTTTTGGAAACAGCATGTGGTTGGTTTGTTTTTGCTTGGCTCAGTTTTGCAACCTCTGCTTTTTGGTTAGGGTGTTTGGTCCACATACATTTCATACCTGTGATGCGAGCATTGGGTGTTTGCTCCCCTCTTACCATGTGTTTTCTTTGTTTTGCTCTGTTCTATTTCTCCTTTCTTCCCTTTGTCTTTGGTATTAATATAAGTACTTTCTCTTATTCCTTTTTCTTCTCCCTTAGCTCATTCCACTATATAATTTAGTATCATTCCTTCAGTGTTTACCCTAGAGATTTCAGAATATATCTATTAATTATTTAAATGTACCCTAAATTAGTGCTTTTACCATGTAATACAGAAATCCCAAATAAATTAATAATTAGTAATAAATACTGCAAAATTTTTAGTAGTTTATCTCCATTTACTCTTTCTTCTTTTCCTCATTTTTGTCATATGTATTATGCCCATTGATGATATTGCATAAGGCATTGTTATTATTATTATTCCAGACAAGTGATCATCTTCTACATTTACATCAACTTCCACTTTTAAGAGATTTTTTTTCCCCCTTGCTGGATTCAGAATTTTAGGTAGGCAGAGATTTCCCCCGCTTAGGGGACTTTGAGGATCTCATTGCATTGCCTCTGGCTCCCATGGTTTCTATTCAAAAATGGGTTGTTTTGTCATGGTTTTTGTGTTTGGTTTTGTTTTACTGAATTAAGTGTGTTATTTTATCTCTGACTGCTTTTAAGATTTCCTTCTTATTTTTGGGTTTTGACAATTTGACTGTGATGGGCCTGGTGTGATTTTATTTGTATTTATCCTGTTTGGATTTTTCTGAGCTCCTCCAAGTTGTAGAGTCAAGTCTTTTATCATATTTGGAGAATTTGGTGTTATTACATATTATACATATTATATGAGAAGTTGACGTTTGTTTCCTAAAAAAGACATGCAAGAGAATTCATCACTGGCAGAAAGTGCCTGGCTCTCTCCTTTCTTTTCCTTTGCTCCACAGACCCATCTATCAGAGCACCTCCGAACTCCAACCTCTGAGTCCCCCACTGAACAGGACCACCCCTCTCAGCTAGGGCTCCCACTCCTGACCCATAGTTTGGAAAATGCTGCAGTGAGAAAGCCAGGGAGAATATGGAGCTCGCCTTGTTGTGCATCCTGTCCTCAAGGATTGTAGCCTGCATTGGCTGCCACTCAGTGCTTCCAAAGAACTGTTCTGTGCCTTTCCCCAGATTTTGTAGTTGTCCAATCAGCTGGTCAGACCTGGTAGAAACTGGACCCTGAGGAGAGGAATATAAAGTTGAGCATTTCAAGGTGGGAAAGGGGTGGCAGATGAAGAGCTTTTCATGTTGAGGGAGAAAGAAGTGACCAGGACCCAAGGTAGGAATGAACCTGGCTAATAGAAAGAGAAAGTAGGCAGTGCAGCAGGATCACATGGGCAACAGTGGTGTGAGATGGGGCAGAGCTCAGATAGCCTGCAGACCCCAGTTAGGACACTTTCTAAATGCAATGGGAAGCCACTAGGGGCTTTTAAGTGGGAGAAAAATGTGGTTCAATTCATTTGTAAAAAGATCACTGTCTGCTGGGAGGAAAAGGGCCAGGGGGATGCAGGGAAACAGTCAAGACAACTTTGCAGTCAAGAAATGATGCCAAGAGATGATGCCAGAGTTGCGGAATTTGGAACTAAAAGAAGGGAGGATTCCAGACAAAAACCAGAATTGAAGGAAATGAGGTTTGTTGATGTACAGGAGGCAGGGACAAGAAAGTGTCCCCATTTCATCATCCCAAGTCACAGACTTGATCATGTTGCTATTTTGTTTAAAATCCTTCTGTCTCTTCCTCTTGTACTTGGTGTGAAATCCCAACTCCTTCTGGTGAATTCTAATCCAGGCCTGGGGAGCCTTAGCTATTTGCGTCCCACCCTCCACCCTCCAACATCCTTGCTTGGCCCCTCCTGCTCCCCAGTCTTCTCCTGGGAACTGCCACTCATCCTTGGGGTCCCCTTTAGCAGGGGGGCAGTGCCTCCCAGGGCCGCAGTTGGGCTCCGTGTGGAGGAGTGATGGCACTTTCACAGCGTGTCATTGGTCCTGGTGGGAACACCTCTACCATGGGAATCAACAGGTACTACGGCTTCACATGCCCCTTGACCAGCCCAGAGAGCAATGGTCATATTTCCATCCCCCAGTGCTGGATGGCAGTGGGTGTCTCTGGCTTAGTGCCTCCCAGCTTCCCCTCACCGTGCAGTGACGATTGGCCTATTTCTGTATTTGTCTCCCCCATCAGAGCTCCCCGAGGGCACCATAACCCTCAGGACAGCGTGTGGCTGGAGCCCATGCCGATCATGCGCGATTGGGAGCAAGTGGGTCATGAGCCGTTCACGACTGCTGAGTGGTGTCATCCCATGTGGCAGGCAGGGCTGGCCCCTACCCCACATGTCCATTCTCTTTAGAACATACTGGGAAAGCCAGTAGAACGTAATCTAAGGGTCCCTGGGACGAACCCCTCGTCTCAGTCATCGGGGAGGGGACGCAACAAAGGCACCAAACTTCCCAGAAAGGCCAAGTTGTTTTGCAAGTCTTAGAGCTGGATTTCATGAAACCATCGGGAGCACCCATCTGTTCCTGACAGGGCCCAGCCTGTGCATCTTAGGCCCACGCTCTGTGAATTTCTATTAATTAGAAGAAAACCACATTCTGCTCTCAGATTTCTTTCCTAACGAGGGGGAGGCCTCATCAACTGCGAGGCACATTGATTCTGCCCTTGCACTGGCCTCTCTTTCCTCTCCCAGCAGAGTGGCTCAGGCCCCTCCTCCCTGCTCACCCCCAGGCTGAGAGCACAAGGAAGAGATGAACTTGGCGGGTCATCAGATTCCCAGGGTGACTGCTTTCGATGAAGGGTGCACTGCCATGCCCAAGGAAGGGAGTGTGAGAAGCCTCTGAGCTCTGGGCTCCTGCACAAATGAGCCTGGTGTTTAGTAGAGCCTCACCTTCACCAGCCACCGTAGCATGTGAACTGGTTCCTTAATGATGCCCAGGCCCTGGGTCCAGAAAATCCCCCTCTGACGATCTCAGGGAAGGACTCAGAGGTCCGTCCAGTTGTTACGTGTAAGGGTGTTTATGATCGCCCCAATTACAGCAGCCAAATTTAGAATGCCCTGAGCGTTCAGCATGCCACAGAACGTATGCTCACTGTCATGTTTTCAACATTATTGCATAATACGGAAAAATGCTCCTGACATGGCATTGAGGAAGAAAAGCAGAATGCCAAAGATGTAGATGGTCTGTTCCTTGTTATATAGAGAAAATCTCTGTGTGTGTCTGTATGTGTATATATGTGCTTGCCTGTGTGTCTGTGTGTATGGACATTATTAAAAAATAAGACTTTAGAACCCAGAACCACTGGGGATAGAGGCATTGCTACTCTTCAACGCCCCTGCCGAATACTACCCACCTCTTCTTCACATCTTTCTGCCTTCCTGGAAATTCACCATGACATCGTATGAAACCCGCTCGTGTCTGACCCCCAAAAGAGTGAGAGACCATTTTGTACCGATTTAAGAAAAAGCGTTTGGGGGAAAATGTACTACCCTCTGCTTTATATAAGTGGAGGATGCTTTAATGTAATAAGCATCTCGTAATTGGATTTGAACCTTAAATTCCATTCATTATACCTTTTTTTAGCAGAGTGGTGACCGAAATCGATGGAGACAGATTCTGGAACGCCCTGCCATTTTGCATATTTTTGAAAAGATGTGCAAAAGATATATATATATCGGAATATATATATATCTGAAAATCACATTCTAGAATGTTATTCTGTGATTCCCCAGACCCTCCCCAACACCCGCTCCCCCCCCGCAAAAAAAAACCCAGGATGGGCCACATGCTCACATGTGCTCATGCATACAGGCATAGCAAAAAGACTGGGAAAAAATATGTGAATAATAACAGTGATTATTCTGGCTAATAGGGCTTGGGGTGACTTCTGTCTCTTTATTTTCTAAAATTTTTGACTTGAGAAAAAAATGTAAGCCAGAAAAAAAAAAATTAAGAAGGAAAACAAGTCCTTTTATTTGCTAAGGCAAAATTACTTGGAAGCTAAGCTAAGCATTTCCATCGGATGGGTGATTTCCACAGCTGCGGGACCCAGAGGCAGACCCCCTGACAGAGGACCTGAGGGTTCACGTGGGGCAGCTCCAGCACCGGGTGCTGACCCTACAGTGCCAACTCAGAGACCAGACGTCTGCCCACCACCAGCTGCAGGAGGCACTTGGGGAAGCCGCCCGCCTCCGGGACCAGCTCCAGGGCGAGGTAGGCTGGAGCCCTGCTTCCTTTCCCGCCTGTAAATGAAATGGGCCCACACTCTAGGAAGTTGTGTTTTGTTTTGTTTTGTCTTTTAAGATTTTAAAAATTTATTTGAGAGAGTGAGTGAGCATGAGCGGTGGGAGGGAGAGGGAGAAGTGGACTCCTCGCTGAGGAGGGGGCGGGATGTGGGGCTCAATCTCAGGTCCCTAAGATCATGACCTCAGCTGACCTGGGCATCCCTCTGGGAAGTTTTGAGGACTTGAATCAGGCCAGATCTCTCCATTCCCAGCAGTTTGGTAGTATTTGTGAGATTTCCAAAGTAAAGACCAGTATGGGGAAGGAAGTGAGACCTGTAATCCCTCCACAAGCTAACATCTGCTCCATCTGAAACTAATATACATGGGTTTTTCTAGAAAGTCTAACTGTTTTTCACATCTTACATAATAAAAGTCCTTCCTCTGTAGTAGTGAAGTGAGAGCGATTTTATAAGGGCAGAGAGATCCTTGACGATGTGAAAGGTTCATTATCTTATCTGTGATGATGGAGATACGAACTTTCATGGTTGATAAAATTACTCAGAACTAAACACACACACACACACACACACACACACACATCACACACACACATAGGACAAGCAGAACTGAGAAATCTGAGTAGGATTGGTAGATTGTTCCAATATAATTGGCACTATAAGGTGGTAATATATTATAATTTTATAAAATGTTCCCCTTGGGGGAAACAGGGCAAAGGATACAAGGGATTTCTTTGTCTTATTTCTTATGACTGCATGTAGATCTATAATTATCTCATTTTTTTTAAATGCAAAACAACAAAAAAAGTCCTTCCTCACTTTGACCCCAACCCCTTCTGAGCACCAGCATTTTTTTTCAACCCTAGGTATTCACATTCAGTGAATGTGTGAATGTGTAGACATACATGAAATTATACCACAAAAAATAATCCACGTCTTGATTTTTTCATTTAAAATTTTTTTAAAAAAAGATTAAAAAGATTTTATTTGTTTGTTTATTTGACAGAAAGAGAGCGAAAGAGATAACAAGAGAGCATGAGTGGGGAAGAGAGGGAGAAGCAGGCTCTCTGCTGAGCAGGGAGCATGACATGGAGCCCCATCTCAGGACTCTGAGATCATGACCTGAGCCAAAAGCAGATGCCTGAGTGAGCCACCCAGGCACCCTGTTGGTTTCCTCATTTAATAGAAAATCTTGGTGCTATTTCCATATTAACACATACAAAGGACCTCATTAAAAAAAAAAATCCATTATTATTTTTTCGTAAGGCCAAACCATAACTTAATCAATTCTTTGTTTATGGAAATCCACATTGTTTCTGTTTTTTTGCTTTATAAACAAAGCTTAGTGGATGTTTCTCTATCTCTTGACTTGGGATATGTTTCTGCTACATATTCAAAGGGTAAAATTCTAGAAAAGTAATTACTGGGTCAAAGGAGAGGTATGCAGTTAACTTTGATACAGAAGGGCAAGTAACCCTCCAAAGTCAGTGCTCATTTATGCTTCTGCCAGGAATAAATGAGTGTATGTGTTCACCCACACTTGTTACCCAGAATGTTATCACTTCCGTGTTTTTGACAAGCTGATGGATGAAAAACACACCATCAACATTGTGACGTCATCTCTGGCTCCTTTCCCGTGCGTTCTTTGTATAATCAGATACACTATATTTAGAGTTTCATGTCTGTTGCCTCCTAAACCTTGGGCCCAGTATTTTTTTTTTTTTTTTGCCTGTGCAGTAATCTATTGGGTGGAAGTGACTTTCATTCACCTGTTGTTGGATCTGTGGTTATTACCATTAATATATATATTCCTGTTTATATGCAAGAGCTCAGAGAACTGGGATTACTGGCCCAGAGTGGGGTCGCGATGGTTCTTAATCCATATTACAGAAAGCCTTCCCAGTGCTGATGCCACTTCCAAAGCCCAGGCAGTAAACAGGGAATGTTCCTCGCTGCTCTCTCCTTGTGTAGCGAGGAAGCTAGTAGGACTTTTTTCTCCTGTCTGTCACTGATCTGTGAAGCATATACTTCCATTTGCATATGCAGGAACTTTTTACCACATCTAGTATCTTTTGTAGTCTGTTTTTCATAGTTTTCAATGTTTTTTTTCTTTCTGCTCTTCAGTTTGGGTGTTTTTTTCTAACCCATCTTCCAGTGAATACTCTTCAGGAAGTCAGATTTACTCATAAACTCATTATTTTTGTTCTTAATTTTAGTTATTGTGTTTTACAGTCCTAGAATTTCCATTTGGTTCTATTTTTTAAAAGATTGTATTTATTTATTTGAGAGAGAGAGTGAGAGAGAGAAAGCGCAAGTTGGGGGGGGGCGGGTAGCAGCAGAGGGAAAGGGAGAAGCCGACCCCCCCTGAGCAGGGAACATGATGTGGGGCTTGATCCCAGGACCCCAAGTTCATGACCCGAGCCAAAGGCAGACGCTTAACCAACTGATCCACCCAGTAGCCCCTCCATTTGGGTCTTTCTAATTTTTATTTTATTTTAGCTGTTTTCCTGTTTTGTTTTGTTTTGTTTTGTTTTTGAAAGAGAGAGAGAGCACAAGCAGGAGGAGGGGTGAGGCAGAGGGAGAAGGAAAGGGAGAATCAGACTCTTTGTTGAGCACAGAGCCTGACACGGGGCTCAGTCCCTGAGATCTCCTGAGATCAGGACCTGAGCCAAAATCAAGAGTCAGACACTTAACTCACGGGGCCACCCAGGCACTCCCCCTAGACCCTGGCCATCGGGTTCTTTTTTGCTAGCTTTCCATTCTCTGATGAAATTCTTGTCATAGGACAATGGGGCACTTCAACCTTGAGGTTGGTCTCCGATAGCTCTGTTCTCCAGTCCCATCAGCATGGACAGATGCCCCAGACTCTCCACGAGTGCAGGGACCTTCACGCCCTTCTGTGTGGTATTGGCCATCTCAGCAGGCATGAGGTGCTAGCTCCGTGTGCTTTGCTTTGCCTTTCTCCAGTGGCCGATGGTGTTGAGCTTCTTTTCACAGGCTTCCTGGTCATGCATCTATCTTCCACTGGACAAACGACCATTCAGTTCTTTCGTCCATTTTGCAACTGGGTGGTTTATTTCTTTGTTGTTGAGATGAGGAGTCTGTATATGTTCTAGATACGAGTCCCATATTAGATATGTGGCTGGCAAATATTTCCTCCCATATGTTGTCTTTTCACTTTCTTCTCATTCACTTTTTCATTGCAAACACCCCAGCACACAGGGCGCAGCAACATTCACGCTGTTGCCTAAAACGATGCAGGCAGGAGGTTGACTCCAAGCCTGCAAATGTTACTGAGTGCCTTTTGAATAGAAAACTGTCTGTTTGGAGCTGGCATTTTACACTTTGAATACATTCCAAAAGGTACGCCAAAAGAGCCGTATAGGAATGTTCATGAAGCCTTGTTTGGAAAGCAAAGAAACAGTATACACTTTCATAAAACATGGGTTCAATAGGTTACCTTTCAGCCTCATGCTGAAATAATATGCAAGATTTTAAGTGGATGTGATCAGTTTGTATGTGTTGACATAGAAATAACACCTGGACTGTAAATTCAGTGACAAAACTGAGACGTAAAACATTTGAATAGTGTCATTTCATATGTATGTATACATACATCGGCATTCTGGTCGTGAATAGGCAGGGTTGAGACCTGCGTGAGAGATCAGAAGAGGTTGGCAAGAGGAAGAAGGATTTTTATTTGTGTCGCTTTCTTGTTCTGACTGCAAAGGGAACAAGAGGGGGAAGGAGAAGGACTTCGAGACCAGCTGTCTTATTCTCTCTTAGGATTTGGTGGGTCAGCAATTCAGACGGGACTTGGCTGGGCAGTTGTGCTCCACCGAGCATCAGTGGGGATGACTCGCTGGCATTCAGCGGGGCGCGGGGTCCGGCTGGAAGGTCCAGAGCTGCTTCACTGACATGCGCACGCCAGACAGTAATAACGGTTCACATTCCATGAGCATTAAGTGGGTGTTCTAAGCACTTTACAGGAAAGGATTTACAGCATCCTTGCTATAATCCTCACTCATTGGGTAGGTGCTAATATTACCCCACTTTACAGATGAGAAGACCGAGGCAGATAGAGAAGTGATTTGTACAAGGTCACAGTTCTAGCGAGGGGCTGAGCCAGGATTGGGACCCAGGGTGTTGGGCTCAGATACCAGGAGGTTTAAAAACACGGCACCAGAAAACTCTGGCATTTCTGCAGGGGATATCTGGGAACGCTTCCTGCCTAAATGAAGAAGCAACAGAGGTGGTCCCACAGCCACCGTCTGGCAGAGCTTAGAGCATCCTTCCTCCTCTGGTCTTGCAGAGCCGGGGATGGGAAAGGTCCCTGTACCTCACTGACAAGCCCATGTGGGAAAAGAGGGGACTAGAGCCAACCTCTCTGAGCCCAGCTCGCCTGGGGAGATGCTGGTGGTGTAAACGGTGGGGGGTGGGGGTGGGGGCACAGCCTTCTCACACATGTTGGTTCCCTTTCAGCTTGATGAGCTTCAGAAAAAGCAACACGAGGCCAGTTTCGCTGTGGCTCCTTTAAAGGTACTATGTCTGTGAGATCAGTATGAAATGTCTCTTCTAAACAAACAGAGCTCATATTTTCCCCATTCTAGATCTTCAGTCCATCTTTATTATTTTTAAAAAAGCACATACACTCACTGGAAAGAAGAGAAATATCACCCCCAAATTCCCATTCAATTCTAGAGTTTTCGTGTATTTTCTTCCGGTATACTTTACATGTGTCTGAGATCCCACCACATCTGTGGTGTCTGTGTCCTGCTTTTGCTGCCGGAGAATAATCCAGGAGGGCTGTCCTTGTCTGCCCCAAGCCCTGAATCAGCTGTTCGTGCTGGAGAACGAAACACCAGATCTGCAATTCATAAAGCTGCCGGAGCCCTTGCTCCATGGTCAGGTCCGTCTGCCCGTCCTCCCCTCTCCCGCCCTCTTTTGCATTCTTGTATATAAATATCGTGATGCACACATTTTATTAGAAGGGTTTTCCCCACAGAGCCAGACATGTCTTTAGGACAGATTCCCAGAAGTAGCCCTCATGGCCCAAATGTTCTTTGCCATTCGGACATGTCATTTGCTGGAAACCTTCGATATGGCACCCGAATTTGGGAAGTGGACCTGGAGGGCCTACCCTTTTCTGTCCAGTCTCTGGGTGGGGTACAGAGGGGGTCCTGGCCCCCACTGACTCACCAGCCCCACCCATGTTGGGTCCTTGGTTTCCTTAGATGTTAACTCAGAAATGTGAGCCACGCCATCCTTCAAGCCCTTCTCCCTCCCGGCGCTCCCACATCTGTCAGAGGCTTGGGTCTATGGTTGTGATGTGGCGTGACGGTCATTCCCACTCAAAGCTTGTTCTGACACCCTGTGGATGTCAGCAGTGGAAACGCCAACCTTAACGCCCTATGAAAATGTGAGCGCTCCGCCCTCTTTTTTTTTTTTTAATCATTTCCTTATACCTTTTACTTAAACAAAGACCATAATCCCTTGTAAACTACAAAGGCTGCCATATGCCAGGGACTCCACATAGTTTATTTTAAGGTCTATGAGCAACATGACAGGAAAGGGGCACATGAGCCCCACTTTACAGATGGGGAAAACTGAGGCTCACAAGGGAAGTGACCTGCCCATAGTCACACAGAGCTACTTGGTAGCAGAGCCATGATTTGCATGCAGTTCTGTCTGATGCCAAAGGCTCCCCTCAGCCACATGGTCCTTCCTGGAGGTCATGAAGAGCCCAGTAAAGTCACTGTCACCACGAACAAAGCCTTGTAGGGGGAGCTGCAGTTACTATGTTCAGCTGATGCAGGCCAAATGCACAAGGCCCTGATGTTTTGGGATGGTGTGATCCAGGGGACCTGGGGAGCCCCACCCAAGGGTGCTGAGGCCCCCAGCCTCCAAGTCAGGCCCCCTCCTGCCCTGCCTTCTTGCCAGTATGGGGTGCCCAAGGACCGCTGCCTGGGGGATGTGCCCAAGCCTCAGGGCAGGAAGTCCTGGCAGGAAAGCATCATTACCTCCTCTTCTGATGGAGCAGAGCACACACCAGAAGGGACAGAGACTCACCTGGGGCCAGCCTTGAATGACGAGAGTCTGTCACCCCCTCCAGACATGCACAGATGTGGGAGGTCATTTCATGGTGGGAGGGTCACTCACTCATACCATCCATGTAATAAATCCTTCCCAAGGGCCATGCTGTCCCCAGTGATGGCCCAGCGATGGCCCAGGGATCCAGGGCAGTGTCACCCCTGACCTCGAGGAGCTCCCAAGCTATGTAGGAGACAGACCCACAAGTATAATATCAACTGTTGGGATAGAAGGAGCAGGGAGCCAGGCAGAGAGGGACACCAGCCGCTTCTATCCTGGTGCCCTAAATGATGCCCATCGTACAGATGAGCAAGTCAAGGTCTGGAGAGAAGCTTGGTCACAGCTGGTCAGTCAGTGGCAGAGTCCACACTCTTGACCCCCTGATCCTGAACTCCATATCCAGAGAGCAGTGGGGAGCCCCAGGGGGTGCAGCAGTGTGGTGACTTTTTTCAAAGCAGGTTCTGGCTTGTGGGCACAGGAGGAATTGCAGGGAGGGGGTTGAGCCCAGGCTGTGCTGGGGAATGCAGAGCAGGAATGTGATGCCCCAAGCCCAGCCCAGCCCAGCGGCTCAGTCCCGGATGGTGTCCTGCATTGGTGGACCTACCTGCCTATGTCTCCACTCCCACCCTCCCAGGCCAAGCTGGCTTCCCTGTTCCAGAAGTGCCGGGAGAGGAACCGCCTGATCACGCACCTGCTTCAGGAGCTGCGCAGACACGGGCTGGAGGACCAGCTGCTTTCTGAGATGGCACAGAGCATGGTGGACGACGTGGCGCTGGCCGAGTATGCAGCCACCTTCCCGGCTTCGGGGCTCCCAGAGGTAGTTCCACAGACACCGCTGTCCCTCTTCTGGTGGGAGCTGTGGGGCCATGAGCTTCCTGCCCACCTGCCTGAGCTGAACTGTTCCTCCTTCCCTCTGCCCACTGACCCCACCCAGAATGCACCCAAGACTCCTGCTCCATGGTGGCACCCGTGCTCCCAGCGGGTGCAGGAGGCTGATCTAGGTGTCCTTACCCTTAAAGGCCTCACAGCCCCGGCCGGGGACAGACACACAAACAGCGTCATTTCAGGGTCCTGCGTGCACTGGGCTGTTTCTTCCACCAGGTGGTGCTTTCACGTGTGCCCGAGGGCCTTAGCACTCACCACTTTCCCTGGCAGGATTCTGGTCTGTCCCGCAGCCTTCAAGACACAGCTCAAGCATGACCTTGTCCAGGGAGCCTTCCCTGGGTCCCGCTGAACACAGAGGTCGCCACATCCTCTGCCCTTCGTGGCATGTCAGAGGGAGCTTCCCCTGCTGTTGTAGGAGCTTTGCTAGCTCTTCGTCAGCAACTTCATAACAATCTCTGGCTCCCTAGTGCCTGGCCCAGAGAAGCTGCTCAGGGAATACTTGTTGCATGAATGAAATCAGGAGCTAACTGAATGAGGATCTCCTCTCCTAACCGCCATCCGAAGAGGAAATTGAGGTTCAGAGAGGTTGGAAGGCTCACTCAAGGTCATGCTGCCCCCAGGCAGTGTGGATGGTCATTGATGCCAGTTCTCACCCAGGTCTGGCCCTGAACAGCCGCACCTGGGGTCTCTGTGCCTGGTACAGTGGGTGCTCAGCTGAGGCTGTCCCCCATGCCCCCTCACATACAGGCAGGCACACAACCTCATTCCTGGGGACCAGCCAGCAACACAGCCAACAAACACAGCTCCTGCTGTAGACATAGCTGGCCCTGATTTCCACGCTCCCACTAGGCAACTTAACACCAGCTCTGTTCCTCCACTCCTTGGCCCTTCCCAGCCCAGCTCTGCAAGTCCCACCTTCTCTGTCCCTTCCGTTCCCCCTGCAGCCGTCAGAGGCCCCCTCGTCCCAGCCAGCCACCGTACAGCCCAGGAAGTGAAGTCCTGGAGACTCAGGGCCACATGGTGACTTGGTTCAGAGCCAGAATTTGAGTCCAGAGTCCCAGACTCCCAGTCCAGTGCTCATCCCTTTGCACAAATGCTCAAGTCTCTTCAGAGCCAGCATAGGGCTGAGGAAAGAAGTCAGCGGCTTGTTGAGATGCTTGGCACAGTCTCTGTGTTGACCAAAGCAGGAGGAAAAGCAGAGTTCCAGGGTGTGGGATGTAGTAGGTGTCACATGCGAGGGCCAGCTGCCTATGTGCTGAGGGGACCTCATAGCGGTGGGAGCCCCACCCTCCAAGGGCTGCTTTGAAACTTAGAACTGAAATGTTCTCTGGGATCGGATAGGCTGACTTACAATGACCAAATTCATAGAGACTGATGTATAAACCTGACCACTAATTTATCAGTTTCCTGTGAGAACTAGAACCATATGCAGGCTGATGTACTGGATGGATGGATGAAAAAAAATGTCAGCATGTATTTCTTTCCTGAAATGGTGGAGTTGTCTGGAATTTCATTCATTCATTCCTCTGTTCATTTGTTAGTCATTAAATGTTTACAATCAGAATCTCCTTCTGGAGACTGGGATGAGAACAAGGAGAATTAATGGTCCATCAGCCTGTGTCATTCATTTCCTGTAAGGATGTGCTCCCAGGACCTGGACATGCCTCCCACTGGGCCAGGGTGTCTCCCCGAGACCTGTTGAAAGCCATGGCTAGTTAGAAGCTTCTACTGTTCTGAGGTGGCTTTGAATCTGCCCTGATTCATTTTGCATTACTTTACAATTCCGCTCTCCAAGAACACCCCCCCATTTTCATGATTGGGTGGGGTAGTGGGGCGCCTCACTGTTTCGTGTGCAAACCACAAAATCCACAGATACCTAGCACCCACTGCCATGCCCCAGGCCTGGTGCCAAGTGCTGGGCAGAAACGGTGAAGCGGGCAGACCATTACGTGCTCTGAGCCTCAGTTTTGCCTTCTGTAAAATGGGAACAGTACAGCCTATGTGCCGGAGTTGACTTGAAGACAGATAATCTGTTAAACACCCCATGCAGGGGATCCCACTGGGTAGGAACCTGGTCCTTGCGTGGGCAGCTGTCAAGAGGGCACGCCCTGGAGTCAGGGAGCTCCACCACTGCCTAGCTGTATGGCCTTGGTGGGGGGACGCTTACGTGTACCCCTTACGGTGCGTGGGCACTTCCCCCCCGTGCTTTATGGAGCTCACTCAGGAGATCCTCCTGCAGGGAAGGATTGTTCCTTCCCCAGTTAGGAAACCTGAGGCTCAAAGGTTCTAAGTCTGGCTCAAAGACACACATCTCTGGGTAGTTTTCTAGCTTGGGCTTCTCCGTGTGAAGCAGCTTGGCTGAGCTGAGCTGGCATTTGACCCCAGCAGGGGGCTTCTGGGCCCAGCCACTGCAGTGACGAGCCTGTGGGAAGGGCAGGGTAGTGGGTGCACATGCGTTATTGGGGGTCTGGGCTGCAGCTCGGGGTTGGGCTCATCCCATGTCCTCAGGGAATTGGTCCCTCGTGTTGCTGGATGGCCAACCCCCAGGGTGCAGCCTCTAGGCAGTGATGTGTCTAACAACCCAAGGGTTGTGCTCCAGGCTGGCTGGGGTGCTCAGCGCTGAGGGGAGCAGGAGTGGGAGACTGGAGTGGGTGGGAGGTCACCTGCACTTCATTTCTGAGTGAGCGGGGAGCCAGCGTTGGTGTCGGAGCAAGGTCCCTGTGCTTCTGGACGGCAGATGCTACAGGCACGTGGGCTGTGCACGTGGCAGCTCATTTAGTTCAACAGCCGGTGACTTGGGCCGTGAGAACTGAGGGCCAGGCAGCTGAGCAGAGCCTTGTGTGGGGGGTGCACCGAGGCCCTTGAGGGGATGGTAGCCGTTCCTCCTGCTGGACAGCTGGGCAGGAGGTGGGCTTTGCGGACACCAACTCTCATTTCAGAGAACACAGGTGGAATTCCTGATGCTGGTTGTGGACCCTGCCTTACAGCCTGGGAGCCCTGCCCAGCTGGCTGGGGAGTCATGGGTGGGCTCAGGGGGATTTACCAGAGCAGAGGGAGCACTGAGGCTGGGCAGCGGGGCTGTCTGATGTGCCAGGGGTGGTCCTGTGGAAACATCCCCGTGAGGGGCTGGGCCCTGGAGACTCAGGTTGTCTGGCCCCTGCCTGGGGAAGGAGACCCACCATGACCCCAGACGTCCAAGGGAGGATGGGCTGCCATTCCTTTATTCACTGGGCATGGTGATGAGAGCCGAGACTCAGTCCTCCCTGGCACTAGCATGTTCTATGGATTAGCTCACTTCATCCTCTCAAAGCCTGCTTTATCAGTGGGGAACCAAGGCCCAGGGCAGTCAAAGAGCTGGGCAGGGTCACACATGGGGCCACTAGGCTGGGGTTCATTGCTATGTCTGTCTACTCTCCTGCTCTTGGAGGAGGGGCTCACACCTGCAGCAGGTCCCTCAGGTCGAGTTGATTTCTTCACCCTGGTGGGGCGGGTGATGGATGGGAAGCCTTGGCCCTCTGAGCACCTGTGCCTTTTCCTCAGGGCTGTGTGTAAGTCTCAGTCAACTCGGGCAGCTATAACGGAATCCGATAGGTGGGGGCTCTCACAGTTTTGGAGCCTGGAATTCAGAGCTGAAAGTGCAGGTGTGGACAGGGGCTAGTCAGGGGGGTGGGGGGCATCATCTGGACTGCAGCCTCAGGAAGATGGAGGTCACCGGCGCAAGGGAGCTGCTCGTTTCCCTTCCTCTTGTCCTGCTCGTTCCTCTTCCCTCCACCTTCTGGAAAAAGCTTGCTTTCCTCTGGGTATTGTCAACAAGCTCTATATATGGGCCTTCAGAAATGGATGTCACCTTAAAAAGAAGCAGTGAGACTTGGAATCCTAAACTCCCCTAATTCATTAAATCAACGACCCCAGGCCTGGGCCTCCAAGGATCCAGGCAATTATTTTCTCTTTAGCTTTTGCTTTTTATGAAGTTTAGAACATTCCCCCAAAAGTTTTCATGGAGAGAGAGGCAGGGGGAGCGGAGCACGTAGGGTGAATCTTTGTACCCTGAGTGGGGCGGGTGAGTGGAAGATTCAGTAGCCATCCATTCTCACTGTATTCTGACAAAACCCCACACAGGACATAGTAGTGTGTCCATTCTACAGATGGACACAGCAAGGCTCTGGAGTTCCACTAACTTGGCCAAGACCATGGGCTTGGTAAGAGGCAGAACCAGGATTCAGCCTGAGAGTGCCTGGCTCTCAGCCTCCCCGGGCTGGTGGGAAACACGAGGAGTGGGGAGCGGGGAGGGTCTCTAGAACCCTGATCACATGCTGAATACAGTGCCACCTGGAAGCCAGTGGGACGGGTCTGAGGCTGCTCTGGATATGAAAGTCAAGGAAACCTCATTCTCATTCTCATGTTGAAGGAGTTTACATCAAACGAGACACACTCTAAAACTGGGAGCAAGGGGAAGCATACATTTGGAGCGCTGGCAGTGAGCAGAGGAGAGACACTTGATGGGGAAGAGGCTTCCTGGAGGAGGAGACACACACCTCAGGCTTGGAAGGATATAGAGGGTTTGGGATAGTTGGAAGGACAGAGTGAAGGTGCTTGAGGCCCAGAGACCTGCATGCAGGAGGGCACAGAGGTGTGAACAGTGAAGGTGCTGGAAGACACAGTGTTTCCAGGGGTGTAAGTGCCAAGTGCTAAGAGGAGACAGCGAGCGTGCACAGTACAGAAGACTCCAGTAAGTGTGGTGTGGGTTATGGTCCAGCCATAGTCTGTGCCCTTGGGCATTAGTCACTGGACTCATCAATCCCCCTTAGAGGGTACAAATGGCCCAGTTGTCACAGCACAGCACATGGAGGGGCCAGTGGCTGAACTCTGCCAGGTGGAGTCAGGGAAGCCTTCATACAGCAGGGGACATTAGAATGAGATCATGACACTCACATAGAAGGTCACCAAAGAAAGAGAGGGAGAGAGAGAGCAAGCGCTGGGGTCCTCAGGCAGGGGCCCAGACTATGTGACTGCTTGGTGGACACGGTATTGGGGGAAAGAAGGTATCCCAATGACACAGCATGCAGGGCCCCTGGTTCACCACAAACAGCCAGAAGGAGGCATGCTCTGGGCTGCTGGTCTGAAATCTGACCCACCTTAAAGGCCAGCACTGATCTTGTTGAACCAGTCAGGGGTTGCCTGGCCAACCAGGCAAGCTGCTATTGCCACCTCACCTCTTATCAGCCCCGTGTGGTCATGGGATCCAGGAAGGTCACCACTCAGTCGATGGGGTGGTGGTGCAGGGGACTCAGGTTCAAGCCTGACCTGAATTTCTGGGCGCCTGAGCCTGGGATCCCAAGGGGTAGCTCAGCAATCAGTTTGTGCAAGGTGTTGGCGGGACCTCTTGGAGAAAGAGTATTTTTCTTAGAAACTCTGCCATCCAGCTGCTCTCCATTTTTCCATTTTCAACAGCAGTTTCTAAAACACATTAATCACAGGGTCTGTTTGGAGAATTAATTCGGGTATAGGAAATGCAATCGTTTTCCTGCACCTGTATTCCCTTAGAGCGAATCCTCCTCCTTTGTGGGTCACAGGGAGAGGAGGGACGGGTGGATCTGGCCAGACAATGTGTTTTCTGCAGGGAGGGGTGAGTGGCCTGCTTCATTCCGGTCATGGCCACCTGCGTGAGGCTTTTTCTCCTGAGCCGTTCAGAATAACTGCTGAGATGTCTTTTCTTCCAGACCAACCACCAACCAGATGTTGAGCCCGAGAAGGCAGCTCCTGTAAGAGGTCAGTGCGATATTCAGTTAGGAATATCTGTGTGCTCTGACACGGTCCAAGTCAGCAGGGCGATCTGACAGGTAGGCCAGTGTCCAGTATGGACCCTGAAGAATGGGAGCCCGCTTTCTCCCCCCTCTCCTTCCCCACTTGGCCCTGCGTTCTCACTTCATGATATAAGCGGAACACAGGAAGAAAAATACCACCTCTGCAGAAGTGGCCCAGTTCCTCAGCCCTGTAGTTTCACTTCTGGAAATTCATCCTAAGTGAATAATTCTCTGTGTGGAAAAGCTCAGTGGACAGGTGTATTCATGCCAGCGTGTTTCTAATAATGAAAAACTGGTGGTGGTCGGGGGAGGGGTTCTCCAGCATTGTTAATTAGCCCGTAGACTCTGCAAAATATTGATCACTAAAATCATGCCGCTAAGCACGGTGTGATACCATAGAAATGATGATATTCTCCATATTTTTAAAAGGTAGGGAGTGGAATGTTTGGGATGGTTACATGGATAAAGCTGGATAAGCACATCTTATGGGCTTATAAGTGGATGATTGGCAACTTATATTAGCAGATAAATTCTAATGGTGGTTACTTAGAAAGATGGTAACAGGATGATTGCTTGTGTTCTGTTATTTTTATTATGAAAAAGGAAATTAAGATGCTACCTGGGAAAGGCAGAATTTCCCTGGTTAAGTGCAGCGTGCTCTCAGTGTGGGAGAAGGGAGGCCGTCAAAGGATTTGTTTAAGTTTATGTTCATATCGGGGGCTCAATAGAAACTAGGAGAAAGTCTGGATGGTGTTGACTTTAGGCAGCTGCTCACCTAGCAATTCCCTTACTGTACTTACAGCTGTGTAATCTTGGATGAGTTAATTAAGCTCTCTGAGCCCCAGAGTCTATCTTCTAAAGAAGGATTTTAGGGCCTTTCTCAGGACTGTCTAGGGCCTGACCCAAGAAGAGAGATCTTTTCTCTGTCTTTGTCTGGTCAGGCTGGGCCTGTCCTCCTGTACCTTCCCCTCCTATCCTTGCAGTCTGAGTGGACATCTCTTTTTCACAGCTGGAAGGACATAAATTCCATTTGGTCCTGTATCTGCCACTATTTTACACCAGTGTCCTTCCTTTTCTGGGCTCAGCTTCCTCACCTTTAAAAGAAGGAGATTTGATAAATTGATTTGGTTACCTGTGCATTCAACATTTCTGGAAGGCTGCCATGTACCAGACCCCCACTAGGTGTTGCAGGGTTCACAAAGATGGGTCGGCTTGCAGAGGTGGTGGTCCCTGTGTTGGATGAGCTGGCAGCTGGGAGGGAAAGCAGAGACAGGCATTCAATTTTCTAGGATACCCATAACCATGGTGGGACCATCAGAGGGGTATGGATGAAGCATGTGAGGGTTCGAGGAAACGCGAGAGGGCCTCTGCCATGGGATTTGGGGACCTCGGAATGACAGAGACTAGGAAAGGTTATTCCAAGTCTCAGGGACTTGTTGACTTTTAGAATAGATTTCTGGATTGAGGCTTAACTGAGAATACTCTCTTCTAGCTCAGAAATACCACCTGAATCCCAAAATGGACAGTGTCCTCATCCAAAGACCTCTGCATTCAGAGTCCTGGCCTGTTCCCAAGGCTGAGTGGCCAGCACAGACGGCTCGACTGCATTCTATGAAGGTGAGAGCACATCAGTCATCCAATTTCTTAGATCAGCTTTTTTATTATAAATATAACACACATATGGAAAAGGACTCAACTTGTAAGTATACAGATCAATGAACTATCATGGAGTAATACCCAAAAAACCATCATGTGGTTGAAAGCTGGAAAATACCCAGCCCAACAGAGAGAGACCCCTTGGTCTCCCTTCCCAGTCTCTGTCTATTGTTTCTTTTTTAATTTGTGGGTTTGGTCAAGTCCCGTGTTCTATGCCTGGTTATTTTTCATCGAGTGCTGGACATCATGTTTGAAAAGTTAAAGACATCATTTGAGGTTCTGCTCGATACTGTCTTCCTCCAGAAAAGATTTCCTTTTGCTTGTGACAGGTGTGATGCCAGGACAGAGACCATTCCTCATGTCACAACTGGTTCAGAGATGGGTTTCAGAATTTGCGAGGTCTGCTTTCCTTCCTGTTCACTCTTCTCCTTGGGCATAGCCTTTTGGGGGTCCCGACCAGAAGCCTGTAGTGTTTATCAGCATCTTTCATCCTTGGCCCTTGTCAGTCCCATGAGGCTCTCAAAAGCTCCACTTACCCTTCTGCCTCTCAGCTACCAGCTCTGCCCTCACCTGGAGGGAAATACAGCCTTCACAGCCATGCCCCCTACTCCTGGCTTGTCTCCTTGTTTTCCATTTTAGTCCCCCAGATCCTGACCATCTTGGTAGCTCTTGAATGGTTTAAATAGATGCTGAGTTATATTCCATCCTGCTTTTCCAGAACTTACTGGAAGTTCAGTCCAAAATGTCTTAACCAGTTCTAGCCAGAGGAGCCCTCTCTTTTCCCAGAGAAAATGTATTTTAGTTGTGAGGTGTGGGGTCTGACAGGCCTGAGTTCAAATCCCAGCTGTTGTTTGGTGTGATGGTGGGCGGATTACTTAACGAGTCTCTGTCGCCACCTCCTCGTCTGTAACATGAGGGTAATACGCCTACTGCTAGTATGAGCACAAAATCAGGGAAGCAGGGCAGAATATGTGTCTGAACTAGAGAGATGCTCAAGAGGAAAGAAAAAAAACACCAGCCATGACTCAGGAGGCAACCAATCTTATTCTTAGCATTTTATCTCAGCCTATTATTGGTTTCCTTCTCCCGGCCCTTCCTATGGCTTTTCTCCTGCCTCCATGATATTATTAATTTTTTTCTCTAAAACCTGGAGAGAAGGACACCTGGGTGGCTCAATCAGTGAAGCATATGCCTTTGACTCAGGTCTTGATCTCAGGGTCCTGGGATGGAGCCCCGCTCTCTGCTCAGTGGGGAGTCTGCTTCTCGCTCTCCCTCTGCCCCTTCCCCAAACTTGTGCTTTCTCTCTCTCAAGTAAGTAAAACCTTTTTTTTAAAAAAAGATTTTATTTATTTATTTGTCAGAGAGAGATAGAGAGAGGCAGACAGAGGGAGAAACAGGCTCCCAACTGAGCAAGGAGCTCAATGCCGGACTCAGTCCCAAGACCCTGGGATCATGACCTGAGCCGAAAGCAGATGCTTAACTGACTGTGCCACCCAGGCGCCCCAATAAATAAAACCTTTAAAAAAAATAAAAATAAAACCTGGAGACAGTATTTCTCTCGGAATTGTTGAGACAGTTCAGCGAAACCGTGCACACTGTTCTGCTCGCTGTTCTGCTGGGTGTCCGAAGAGCATTCAATAAATGCTAGCTACTGTTACTGACCTTCTTCTTAAACCTTTCTTTCTTCTTTCTTTCTTCTGACTGGTGACTTTCATCTTAAATTCCGCATCTACAGATTTATTATCTGGGATGAAAACTTTCTTCCAGCTCTGCTCTTTTTCTCGGAAAATTACTCTGACTTTTGATCTTTGGCCTGGCTTGTCCCAAGCAGGTGGGAGGCATTCTAGACAAAGGGAACAGTGCCCACCAAGATAGAGAGGTTGGGGGAACTGTGAGCCATTAAATGTGGCTGCAGCACAAAGTAAGGCATAGAGAGGAGTCTAGGAGAACTCAGTGATGATGTGGATGAGAACAACGATGGGAAAGAAAACCCCCACTCTTGCCTCTTCAGTGCTTGCTTACTATGTACAATGAATGCACTGGCTTTGCCAGTCCTCATGAGGGGCTTACAAAATAGGAATCCTCATTAGCCCCCTTTACCTATGAGAAAAGGTCAGGAGCAGAGGGGGTAAACAGCCCACCCCAGGACACACAGTTAGCAAGTGGCAGATCTGAGGTCCCATCCAGGCAGCTGGTTCTGGAGCTGGTGGGACCAGATGGAGTGGGGTCTTCCCTGGGGAGATGGGAGCAGTCCCTCCTGCCCCCAGTGCAGCCCAGTCTGGAGTTCACTGTGAGGAGAAACCCCTCCAAGGTGTGCTCTAGGTGGTGCTGGCTGGAGACCGACAGCGGTCCTCTTAAGGAAGTAGTCAGAGCAGAAATGGGGTGAATGAATGGGCAAAAAGCATGCCTCAACACTCGCATGGTTCCAGGAGTCTCCATTGTTCTTTGACTTTCTTCAAAGTCATCACCACACACTTGGGATGCCACTGGATGAAAACCCTTCCTTGGTTGGACAGAATTTCAAGCCCACAGGACATTGTTATGCCTTTGCTTTGAGTTGACAGAATGTTGATGGCGACATTTCTGTTCCCATGCTTTACCCAGCGCCTGACCATGGCGGGCCTTCATGAATAATTGGAGAAAGGGGCTGGGTGGCTCTTTCTCTGGAGGGTCACACAGGCCCCTCACCCTCACCCCCAGCACTACATTGTCACCTCCCACACCCCCAGTTCAGGCGTGGTTCTGCTCAGTTGTAAAGGACGTCAAGGAACAGAGCCCTCTGCCTTGCAGAAAAGCAGATTGCAAGCCGTGGATATGGGCTGGCCCCGGGTAAGAGCTTCCTGTGGGGGAAAATGCATTTGTTAGATAATTACACTGGGGGATCAGTGACCTGTCAGCAAAATGAGGTCAGTTTTGAAGGACACTAACTAAATTTATCACATGTCAAAATTCTATTACTTTATGGTTGAGCTCAAATCCAAGAAAAAAAAAGCAGCGAGGAACCTAAAATTACACAAAACTATTCCGAGAAGGCTGGTAAACTTTTGGCATTTGAAGAAATATTTGTCCCTATGTCACATCACCGTGATCCTGTCACTTGGCCACTGAAGACCCTGCAACCATCCTGTGTTTAGCAGCAGACTGTAGTGGTGAACAGTGTGGGCTCGGGAGACACCCTGTGTCTTGGGCTCCAATACTGATTTTTGTCTCCTATTGACTGTGTGGCCCTAAGCAAGTCACTTAACCTTTCTGGGCCTCTGTTTCTTCATCTGTGTAATGGGATAATAATATTAGTTACCTCTCTGGGTTCAAGACTGAATGAATCAATATATATACGTTGCTCAGCATGATACCTGGCTCATCGCGGGAGCTCGGTAAATGTTCACCATTGTAGGTTGAGCCGTATGAAATATTATATGCCCCTTTCCTACAAAATCTGCATTTTCATAAGGTTTAAACTATTCTTATTATGATGACAAGTCCAGATTCCTTAAGTCTCTGTTTGCATTCCATGTGTGCATTACTCCACATGGAATGACCCTCAGTTTTTAACACTTCAGAATCCCGCCCCTTCCCTCAAATTCTGGCTCAGATACCGCCTCCTCCAGGAAGGCTTCCTACTTCTCAGTGTGCAGTGGGTGCTTCTCTCCTGGGGGAAGCTCCCCTGGCATCCGTGTCCGTCTTCCAGGTCTGTCTCTGCAGAGGACTTGCCTGGAAGTCTGTCTGCTTGCCCCGCTGGGTGGGGAGCACCCTGGGGGAATGGCTGGTCCAGGCAAAGCCCACAGGGCAGTGCTCAGTGACCCTCACCCCCTCTCCTTTCTTGCTTTGCCTTTCTCTCAGCCAGCTTCCATGGGTGATGCTGAGAGGGCGCTGAGCGTGCACCATGGCCCACTGGTCACTGCTCCCCGCCTTGGGGTCACTGGAGAAGTTTGCTCCATTCTGCCTGTCTGACCAGTGAGGCACAGACCCACGAGTCTATCTGCTGGAGGACTGAGCAAGGATGGAAGTAGGACTTGTACTGCTGAGCACGGGGGTCCTTCCTTCCTGTCATTTGCAAGGATGGCATGTGATAAAGATGATGGGCATGAAGGGCTGAGAAGCTTCTGGGGGAGCTCCAGGAAGTGTGAGGTTTTGAGGTCGGGTGGCTTGGGTTTGGGCATTGAGCCAGTCATGCCAAAGCTACGTAGATGAGGTCAACATCTCGTTGATGCCAATTTCCTTCTGATGGGATGGTCACCCTCTCTCGATCCTGCGAACCAGAAACTGTAGAACAGACACCTGCTCTATGGGGACAGCCATAAGCGATTGTCTTGGCAGACGCCTGCTGGATGACGTAGTGGGAGCCGCCCCCCAGCCCTGGGCTCCTCCCCCGTGGCACCATGAAGATGTGGTTTGCCTCATTGAACTGTCATGGAAGGAAGTGAGAGATGCAGGAGGAGCCCTAGTGGGAGGCGCAGAAAGTGACCTATAATGTTCCTTATCGTTGCCCTCTTTTCCCTGGATGAATGTGGGATCGAGGGCTTTTATGAACACATAGAAACAGACACATTTCATTCTGCTCTTGCCTCCAGCTGCCCCTGCCCTCAGGGCGGACGCCTGCCTCTGGAGTGTGCCTGGCTGCAGACCCTGCCGAGCCAGCGCTCCCCTCACAGTGCCTGCAGGAAGAAGGTGGACTGTCCGGTCCCGTCCCCCAAGCCGATGGCCTCCTGCCACCCTCTGAGCTCCTGAGTCCTGCGAGGATCCTGGCTTTCCACAAAGAGCTTCGGCAGAGCATTTGCAGCAATTCCCAGGTCCATAAATCACCTCTGGAGTTATAAATTTAATAGAACCACTCACGCTCTGGGGCCATTTCATAGACTCCATAAATATTTGAAGCCGAACCTTCAGACACTGCTTTAAGAAATTGGTAGCAATCAAAACCCTC